CGGCGACCCAAGCCACCGCCACCGCCGTTCTTCCCCCCTCTCCTCTACCTCGCCGCCGCCTGAGCAAACGGCCAGCAAAGCCAGCAGCTTGCTAGGATGGCAGCGGCGGGGCTCGTGGCGGCGGCCACCCTAGATCCGGCGTGGGCGGATCTGAGGGTGGAGGCCGGTCGGAGTGGCGCCGTCGTCGAGGCCGGAGGCGTGCAGGGCGTGCAGGCGACGGCAGCAGGTGGACGTGGTGGTGACACGCGGCGCAGGGGCACGGGGTTGGCGGCGGCAGGCGGAGGCGAAGACTGGTGGCAGGGTGTGGGCCGCGGTGGTGAAGGCGGCGGCGGCGGAGTCTGCGACCTCGGGCATCACCGGATCCGCGTCGGCCATCGCCGGATCTGGAGCCAGGTGCGGGAGAGGAGGCGGGGTGGCGGCGGGGATGCAGTGGCGGCGGCAGGCGACGGGGATGCAGGCGGCAGCGGGAGCAGAGGAGGCGTGGCTCCGGTGATGGTGGCGCGTGGAGGAGCGTGGAGGCGAGGCCGGCGCGGCCCGTGGAGATGCGGCCGGCGGCATGGAGGCCAGTTCGGTGGCGTGGCGGAGGCGGGGGTCTGGTGCTGCGACAGGAGGCGGTTGCGGGAGGCCCTTTGTCGGCGCGGTGGCAGCCTCCAACTCCCACCGGCGTCTTGGCGGCGATGCAGTGAGGCTGTGGGCATTTGTGGCGACGGTGGCTAGCCGAGTTTCGATGACCGGTCCCTTGGCCGCCTTGGCCGGTTCTGGTCGGTGCAGCAGATGAGTGTGGGTGACGGTAGGTTGCCTCGAGGGTTGACTGCTTGTGAGACGTCGTGGACTATCGTGTGGCCGTCGATGTGAGGGTGCTTGTGGGTAATGTGCAGACGCTGGCTAAAGCCTTGCCGTGCCTTTGGCCGGTTCGATGACGACGACGCCGTTGGCACCGTTTCCCTTCTTGAAGGCGTTGTCATGACGCTCTCCCATTTGCCCCACAAATCTCCGGGTGTAAACCTTGCTCCAGCTTCGGACGAGCGGCGGTGGCGTTACACGTCGTGTTCTCCGGACGAGCGGCGGTGGCGTTACACGTCGTGTTCTCCTTGGGGGCGTCGCTTCGGAGAAGTTCCTTTACATCGATGATATTGATAGTCTCTTCGGTTCAAAAGCTTTCTTTCCTTGGTGTTCGGCGAGGCCTAAGCCTCTTGGGTCCACTTCGTTCTGTGGTGGGCGACACACTCTTCGGTTGCTTATGCGGATAAAGTTGGAGCTGCTCGCTGTTGGGGTGCTGCGACGCTTGGCAACGATGACGTGTTGTAGTCTCTTTCAAAGAGTTGGTGCTGGCTATGTGAAGGAAGTGGCTCTTTGGTGGCTTGGCTGATGTCCATTGTGGATGTCGGAGCTGCTTTCGCTTTGGCGGCTTTCGTGGCTTCAGTGTCGCTGCGGTGGTGAAGTCGGCGCTGCTGGGTCGCTTGGGCGGCTAGCTCGGTAACGATAACACCTCTTCTGTGATGTCGGAGCTGTTGTGCCCCTTTTGTGCTTAGCATGGCAACGATGTCCTGCATTTGGGCTCCACTGTTGTTGTTAGTTGTGTAGTTAGGTCCCATGCTTTCTTCTGTCTGTTGGGTTTCAGCCGGTTCTCCATAATTAACCGTGTAGCTGTATGGTTTTCTGGCCTGATTTCTCTTATAAACTGGGTCATTGTCTCTTGTTTATACAGTTTCTCCCTCTCTTAATATAAAACAAGCAATGTTGGCTTAGGTTTTTTTTTTAAAAAAAACATCTAGAGACCGTACGCGCAATGCATGCATGGGAACTGGAAGTGGACCAGCATGCAGCTGGTCTACCATAAAACCGAAAGTACATGCTCGTGCATATGCATGCTACTCGAGGGCTTGCAAGTTGAAGCTTGCAAAAGCAGATATCTTTTCCCCATCTGAAATAAAAGGAGGACAGGCACACATGCATCCGCTCTCGATCGATCTGTTGCATTTCACCACCCCCTGACGTTTTAATGCCTTAGCCTTCCTCCTGCACGTAACGTTCGTACGTACCCCGCGCTGCGCGAACGTACGTACGTACGGCGCACCAAAATCCTCGCGATCCTGGGACATCCGGGACGCTCGCGGCCTGCGTTGTTGACGAGGCCGCCGGGTGGGCGAGACGTCCGCGGGGAAAGCGGGTGTCTCCCGCGGAGGGGCAGCTCGAGCGGTACCGCGCGCCGAGCAGGTTGGCGGGTTAGGCAGGCACGGGCACGAGCCGTGGCCATGATGCGCGCGGAGGCAGGGGCGGGGGCGTGGCGTGCGCACGGCAGCGCAGTGCGGTGCCGGGGGGGGGGGGGGGGGGGGGGGGTGTGGAGCGTTGGCTTGGGGTGGGAAAAGACGTGCCAAATGCCCGGGCGGGTGGCTGTGGGAACAGCACGCGCTGCCGCGGCCCGGCGGGCAGCCCATGTTCCGTCAGATTCTGCCCCGATCTGGGTGTAGTTTAGCCTGGTTCTTTCGTGGTCTCTGGCTTCTCCAGCCGTTCAGTGCGGTGGCGGTGGGTGGTGCGCCTGTAACGACCTGTTTACCAGTGCAGATTTTTGGGGGTCTGCATCATGCACGTATACTGGTATCGTCGTTGTTGTGCAGGATATATTGGGATTTGGGAACAACTTACTATTGCTCTCATCGGATGGCCTAAACAGTCAGAGAGTAAGCTAAATTTTAAATTTTTAAACTTAATTTTAAAATTGATTTTGAGATATTTTTAATATAGTTTTTTTTCAGCATTGACTTTTAAGTCATCAAGAACATATATATGAAAGTTTTACCTATAAATTTATTTTTATTCCCTAATAAACCGTTTTGGCTTATTAGGGAAAAAACCAAACGATTGGGGCTTATACTTTTTTTAGCCATGTGAATGAGGCAATCTAGCGAGCCGTCTGCACGGTTAAACAAGCAAAGGGTGTTTTCCCATGACAAATCTCGTTATAAGAAAAACGCTAATCTCGTTTGAGTTAGCTACGATTTTTGTAGGCGAATATATTGATTGTATTGAGGTTCGGGGAAACAGAAGGAAAGATTCCCAGTCAGAGTCAGTTTAAGTAATCCTATATCTGCATGGTATATACGGTCATCTTTGGAGTTTCTTGACCTGACTCGAATTGGGACTCTCGCAACTCCTTTTTCTTCAAGGAAACAAACAATGCGACACTCCCATTAACCTAACCCAATGCAAATGAACCATACAACACCTGGCTGCAGCCTACTTGCAATGCTTCAACCTAATCTACCCCTGCCCTATAAACAAGCCAGTCAGGCGCCCAAGCGAAATATACGCATGCTGCTGGCCCTCCATGAGGCCAATCTGGCCAACAAATACTGGAGTTTCATCAGTGCCCATTTACAGGGCAGCCTCTGGTCCGCGTCTGCACACGAGATAAAGGGGAGGCGGAGTGGAGCACGAGCTCAGTATCTACAGGGCGCGGCAACACCGCCTGCCTGCCTCCCTCCAAGGCTTCCGACCCCAGGAGCCAGGCAGAGGGGGACCGGGCCACCGCCGGCAGATGCCATGAAACCATGTGGATCAACAGGTCGTTCGAACAGAGCTCACTGTGCTTGACAAACGTTTGCAGGACGGCTCACTCGATCACCAGCCGTCCGTCCGCTTCTGGGGCTCTCAATGGACGGCCCCGATTTCGGTTGAGCATGGGGAGGCGCGCACTCAAGATCCCGTCTCAACTAGCTGGTCAGGCTAGAAAAAAGACATCCTCTCTTCGAAAGAGCGGCAACACGAAAAAATGCAAAGGTTTTGTCCGGGTGATACAGCCCGTGACTAATGGGTGATCAGGTTCTCACGTTATCTAATGATACCACCAATCCCAACAGCAAACAGCACTGTACTGTACTGCTGATGGAGCAGCGCGCATGATGGCCAGAAGCAGTATTCGCTGGCTTTGCAAATGGCAGCCATGGTGCTGTTCAAACACATGGCAGCGCTAGGACCTAAACCATGGATACTGAAGGGGACGTAACATTAACAATCTGTCAACTGGTCATCTCTCATCTCTGTGTGTCCCACTAAGATTAATAGGCCTTGATCTCAGTCTTCTCGGCTGGATTCCAATCAGACCTAAATCTGTCATCTTAATCATTTGGCAGATGCATTTGCAGATTATGAAAAGGTAGTATGAGCCAATACTGGTAGTAGAAGACGCAAAGGCAAACAAGATGTGTCGTCTAGTGCCTCGTATCATCTGAATCCAGAATCGCAGAAGCTCCGGCGATAACTTTTGGCCAGCGCAGAATCGCCCCTCAATGTGCATCATATGAAGACTTAAATGGGATACCATGCTCTCCAACTGGCCCATGAGTTATCACATTCCAACGATGCAATCTGATCCCCATTCTCCATTGACATCTTTACAGGCGAACAACGGTTTGCGTCAAAAAAACAGGGGAACAACGGTAAGATAAACTGATAGAGATATTATACCAATAAAAATCATAGCCGAAGGGGCCCAACACACTGGTTTAGATGTTGTAAAGAGAAGGGTCATGGCACCCAAATTACTGAAGATTTAAATATTCTCTCATTACATTCACTAATGAGAGGTACCCAAAAGTTGGATTCCTAGGACTAGGTGGAAAATTTGAGTTTCCTGGTGACACGTCCACTCTTGTTAATCATAGAACCGATCAAATGATTGATCTTATTTAGCAAATTAGTCCAGTCCCATGTGCCAGATTTAATCAGTACGATGATTGGGGAAATCAACACGCGTGATTTTCTGCAAAAGAAAAGGTTAAGCACAAATATACTCTTTTGGAACACATGCAGGCCACTACATCGCAATACTGCAATCAGTTTGTTCAGTTCAACCATAATGGTCGTCCATGATTTAGATACATAAACGGAATGCTATAGGATGACAGTGAAACAAAACTCCATACGGGCATTCCAATCAATCACTGAACTTGCAACATACGAAACTATCTGTTGTGTTGTCACACCACGGGACGATATCATTTTTTCTAGGCAAACAGGGCGATGTCAATATATATAAAAATGAATTGGTCTAGGATTCTATAGGGTGGAGGTAGCATGTCAAGCATACAGCATTATATTACAACATATACATCATCCAAAGGCAGTTGGAACTTTAGACACCCTCCAAAAAAGAGCTTACCTTTCTGGCACTAAAGCCAAATTCACAATCAGCACAGGAATTAACAGTAAAACAATCACCCTAGATCTAACTATACCTTGCCGTTCTTTCCAGCGGCTATTAATTGTGCGCTACTTGAAGTATCTCTTGGTACCACAGAATAGGAAAGAGTAATCTGCGCTGGACTGGGGACTGCCTCTTCCCGGAATTTGACATCGAAGGCAACAGATTGGTAAAGACAAACTTCGTCTTCTTTGCAGTAGTAAACCTACATACAACAGCACACTATACTCAATGGAAATAGTACAAAACTGAAAACGATAATTCACTTAGCTAGGTTACCAACTTAAACCAAAACAAGTCAAGATGCATAATGGTTTGTTGTGTGTCCTAATCCAGGGAGCTACCCAAAAGGGGCAATTGCGTTGGATGATCTTGCATTAGCTATTGGCAAATCCAGTTTTCGTTAATATGCATGCAGGTTGGCAGGAAGTGCAGACAAGCAACAGATAAGCAATCTGGTGAACTAGTCTCAATCCAGTTTAACTGAACCGTTTTTGTTCACCCATTACCCTCTACTGGGTATTATTCCAATCTGAATCCTACTACCAACAAGTTAAACAAAAGTGTTGCTTGACTAAAATGCATTACTACCTTGCAATTGATCCTTCCCGTTGATGACGATGAAGATTTCCTTCTGTACTTGAGTGATGCCTGTCCTGAGTTTAGAAAACCATTAACTGGCTCTATCTCAATTGCATCAGCTGGTTCTATGTCCACATCAAATTTACTTCGAGCTTCCTGCAAATGAGAACGTATATCATCACAAGTAAATCATGCTGACAGCCATAAAAAACGTTTTGCACTAAGCTGACATTGAACCCAGAAGACTCCATGACACTATGAAAGTAAGCACCATCCACTTCGGTGGTGTGACCAGATCATTCAGGCCTTTAACAAGTTAACTGTTCTCTTTTTTTCTCAGAAAAAGAGTGTCCAAAAGGAAGGAAGAATTGATATGCATGAAGTATGATTGCATGGATGTTATGCCATATATTTCATAGTAGGTAAAAGCAACCAGAAAGACCTTATAGCATAAAAACAAAACAAAAATAGTATAGTCCTGTGAAGAGTGCTGACAAACCATCGAATGAAATGATATTTCTATTTAAAAAGTGTACCATACAATAACATTCACAATATAACGGGAAAATGCTCGTCAGTAACTATATAAGGCTACCATATATGATGCAAAAACATTATAGCTAAAATTCTGTGATGATTTTGGACCTTGGAGAAATGGTAACCATCAGGGACAGAGATTGCTAGAGACAAATATCCTTCAATTGAAGAACCACCATCAATGTTAATAACATCCGTGTCTGCTGATAGACGTCTTCTTAGGCGTTTCAATGTCTTTGGTTTTGGTGATGGTGGCTGAACTCCAATCAAATCTAGCGTGCGCACCTCAGCGCCTTTCTCATTCAAAACTATATACCTGATTGTGCTATTGTTTGTATCTGCTACAAGAAGCCTTCCTACGATATATCAGAAAAGCAATAGTTTGCACCATATTATTCATCTTGCAGCACAACAACTACTGTTTGCCTATTCTGTCACTGACCAGGAAAAATGTAAGCAGCTTACACATAACATAGGGTTGTTCATAAAACAAGTGCAAATGGTGAAATACATAAAATAGGCAAGGTTAGACGATTACAGGCAAGGTGATCCAGTGAATTGCTAGGTCCATCACCTAATCGGTGTATTCAGGAAATTAACTCTAGAACACCATTAGATAGCGTGATTGTTCTAATTACTATCTCATGTGTCAGTTAAACTAGACAAGCAACACAGCACATGGAAAAAGATTACCATCTCCCACTTCAACAAGTCCTGCTGGCTCAGACAGCTGCATAAAAAATAAGTCAAAACAATTACGGTATGTCTTAGAGCTGTTCCTAGGAAAAAAACATATATTTCTTTTCACAAATAATACAAAATAGAACACACTCTAATACTCTATTGACCTATGGACTGCGTTAGCACTAGTATATAATATTGATTATATATAATCACGTTTTAAAATGATGAGGATGATATAGCTATTGTAAGTTAATTTACTTATATACCAACAAAAGAAATTGCCAAAGTTGTAGCTTTACTTGAGCTGACAAGGCTGGACCATCCTTGTATCCTGCACGTCCCGTACCAGCAATCGTCGTAACTTTCCGTGTGACAGGATCTAACCTTTTTATCTGCAATTGCATAACAATGCATTAGAAATATTAGAACAACTTGCAGTAAAAGCAAGCAGTAAAAGCAAGTTTAGTCAAGAGAAATAGTTTAGGACATGGCATGGATCACTTATGCTGTTATGCACAATTCAGACCAACGAACTATTTGATAATGGAAATTGCATGATTCAGACCAACCTTGTGCGCTGCTGGTAATGGAAAGTTGATTCACTGCCTGATTACCCCATCCATTAATTTGATAAAATTTTCACTGGTTACCTTTTTTGTGAGTGTGAGGTACATACACACCAGCACAAGGCATAATTTTGTGATAACTTGTTTATTAACCGGAAAAAAAAATCTAATTCTTGGTAAAGAAGACACCTTCATGAAATTTTACATACTGGATGGGTTACACATATTAGAGATGGTGGTTACCTTGTGATTGTAAGAGTCCGCAACATATATTTGATTATCACTAGCATAGACAACACCCAATGGATGCTGGAGTAGCACATCCGAGCCAGTCCCATCATGATCTCCAAACTGCAAACAAATAAACAAATTTAACTTTATACTTCGATAAAATTTAGAGCAGAACAAAAAAAATCTTAAAATGTTCAGTCACATTAATGCTGAAAAAAAGAGAGGCAGAATCCTTTAGTATCAGGATATATAAATACCCTAAACAAATTCTCTGGAATCATTGGGTCTCCCCCAGCTAGCGATCTTGAACCCCCAGATTTCAAATTAACAACTCGAATGGAGCTGCTTTCACTATCAGCAACAATCAACTCCTGCAATTCTGTGCCGATAGTTCATGTGAATCTGTGCTCTCTGGCATCAGAGCACAAAGGAGAGAAAAAAGGAATCAACCAGAAATACCAGGAGCTAATGAAATCCCAGATGGCTGTGCAAACGATGTTCTGGTCGAACTGCGACATGAAATTATTTCTCAGAAAAAGGATCCAACAACATGCACGCACAAGGTACTGCAGGAACCAAGTGGGCCCAAGGTAGCACAACAAAGGGTAAAGCGAACAGTTCCAGCATTCACAATAGAAATGAGATTCTAATGCAATCCCATGAGAGTAGAATGAAACATAAACAACATGTTCATTAATACACAATGGATAACTGCAAAAATATTTTAGTAGCAATCATGTATCTGACCCAATACGGCCATGTCATTTGTAAGCAATTAAAAAGTTACTTTCTGATGGACCAAACGGATGAATGTAGAAGTTGATAAACATAATTACCTCGATCCATTCAAATTTCTCTCGTAGCCATCACCACTGAGAACTTCTGTTACACCGTCCAATGTGTTGTGTTTCCAGATCTGATGTTGTCCAGCCATTGCGATGTATAGGGTCTCCTTTGAGGGATCATAGCAGACATCCCATGGTGAATTTAGAACCTAGATAAACACTTTCAAGTCAGACTGTTTTCTATCAACACTAGTTTGTACATTAGTATTTGCATTGATAATCGTAATTAACTCAGAATTTTTTGTACAGATTGGACTTGTCAGATCAATTATATAATATATAAACATCAGTCATCAAATTTACATCAATACAATTTATGCAAGGGGCTGTATCATGTGTAAATGGCACAAGTGTCACAAATCCCTTTTTACTAAGCCTAGATGTTCTTAAGGGCCATTTTGGTTTGAAGTCCTATCAAAACTTTGTTTGGTTTAGTGCCAATTTCAGCTAATAAGAAACAAGTAGGTAATGCCAAGATTTCACTAAAAGCTAATTTGGTTTGCAACCTACCAAAATTTTGGTAGGGTAGCAAACCAAAATGGGCAAAAAAAAAATCCAAATTCAAGATGGATTTGTGTGTTGGCATGTTGGTTTCCTTTACTCAACTGGCCTATGTAGGTAGACTGCAGGACTATGAGCTCATTCACAGTCAAAATGGGATAATGATACTGCAAGATTATGTTTCAATCAAACTATCTATTCTTCTAACTAATTTCTTAATTTCATCTTATGTGAGAATTAAGAGTTAGAACTGAGTAGCATGATTTTATAACGATCGTGGAACTCGACCAACATTCTGATTTTCCCAAACAAAACAGCACTTGCATGTGAACAAAACAGAGGATTATAGCACAGCAATATGGCCTATAGACATAAATGAGCCTTGATTTCATGACTACATTAGTAGAGTATGTATACATAAAAGAACCATGAAGAAGCATGCCTGATTAGTTCCCTGACCTCCTCCTCTGTAATCAGAGCCTTTCGTTCCATTTCCCGCCAGTGTTTTGACAGTCTCGCTCACAAAATTAATCTCTCTGGATAACAAGAAATAAATATCCAATTCAGGAAATAGGAATAGTTTGTTGCATATGACAATGATATGAGGACATAGTTAACCATGCTAATCAACTACGAAATCAATTTTATATATTACAACAAAGAATGACTAGCAGAACTAGTTCATCGTTCATAGCAAAAGGCATTATTTGTTTAAAGAATTACACATTTATTCCTTTTCAATGAAAAGATGCATTCAAGATAAGTGAGGCAAGAATAAAAGGTGCATATACCAGTGGCACTTTTCACCATCAAAACACAATATGAGATGAAAGGAAGAACCCTTACAGAATCAAGAAAACAAAGAATTTTCTGTTGTTCAGATAATACAATCAATTTGTGCTTGAATAGTTTATTTATTTATTTTTTGTTTTTTAAGAGGATAGCTATCTCGCAAATATCGGTTAGCTACAAAAAGTTTCACAACTCTTCTCTCCATAGGCCATCCACATTTTCTCATTTTTCCCTATTTACCCACATTCGGGTTACAGGATGGTGTATTCAGCATAGAATATACATTAGAAGAAGGATGAACGATTATCAGACCAACATGCATCATATCAGAGGAAGCCACCTGCTACTAGATTTCTAAATGATTATGGTTACAAATTTCAGTTTTACCTTCAGTTTTCCAATATTGATATTTTGAGACGTGGAGACTGTGTAATAAGCAATAGTAAACATATGACAATCTGAAATCAGTATCACATGGAGGCTTAGAACTATGAACCAGGTCAGGGTTCTGTAAAAAAAAGGCAAGCCAGTTTTGAGCCAGCAGGTAGGTTCCTGGAGGTATTCAGAGCCATAAAACTACTGAATGCGAGAATTACACTGCATGTTGACACACGCCATTTCCATCAAATACCGACATTATTTTATTTTACATAAGGCATAAGAAGATCAATAACAAATGTTGTGTATGCCACCATAAACTGAATGAATTAGCCTTGTAAAAAAAATGAAATAAGCGAAGTGAAGTCAGTGATAGAACTAACCGCAGTGCATGGTTCTCAGTATCTGCAACATACAGGATATTCTTTTTGGAGTTGTAAGCAAGACCCTGAAATTAATAGCAAGTATTATGAGGTCATATAACACATGAAAACACAATGAATGGAAGTTCAATTCAAGGAGGTAGCTAGACAGGGCCCAGGAATTGGTTACAAGTATATGAGGTCACAGAATAAAAATATCACAAAAAGGACAGTTCGATTCTAAAAGGTATGAGTTCTTTTCAAATAAATTCACTTAAATAAACAGAGCATTTGATATCTTAGCCTCTGCCCGAGGAGATATCAGTTTGGTTCATGCTGTACACAGGAACTATCCAAATATCATACCCTAGCTCTCTACTGTAGCCATGGTCCATACTACCAACAAAGTTCAAAAGGAACTCCTAACATGGTGCTACAAAAGCATAAATTTATTGTAAGAACAAACAATAATTATTTCCTTACTTGAGGGCGATTAAATGAAGCAGTATCAAATGTGCCATCAAGTAGTCCTTCTTCAGAACTTCCAATTTGACATATAAATTCCCCTTCCAGGTTGGTAACTACCTTAATTACAGAAATGAGGATAGAACAAACAGCTAAATCAGATAAGAAATAGATCATACATGTGAAGTAAATTAGCCTAGTCAATGCAATGCTATATCGTTGTGCAAAACAAAGAATACTCACAATTCGATTATGATTACTGTCTGATATAAACAACCGATTGTTCAGTACATCTATTGCAAGTTTCCCAGGAAATTTAAGCGGTGAAGCTAGTAAACGACTATCCTTGTCCTTCTCCAATGCCAAGGGAAGAGAACTGTTTTGTAATAATTTATTTTCTTCATAAAATTCAAGAGCTGCACCAACCACATCATCAAGGTCCTGGAAATAATGAATAAGTGTGATTGACTAGGCATTGACACCATAACTACCATGAAAAATGTATGAACAACTATGCCAGTGGAAAAAAAAAACAGGGGATGGCTTGTTTGCAGAAATCGTTGTACAGGTTAGACAGGATAAATTTGTCCTCATATCACAGGATAGAGGTCAGGCAGGCAGGCATATGCAGCAACTTCTGTTATCTTGTAATAACGAGATTTAGATTTTAGAATAGTTAGGTAGTCCAGAACAGATGCTAAAAGAACTTGACAAGCAAGATCAAGATTACCATGGACTATTAGGTTCTACTTAGCCAACACAATTCGTAATCGTTTGCAGCTTAAAGCAATCAAAATAATCAAATAAAAATTTTGTGTTAAATATCATGTATGATGGCCAAGACACCTGGCAACAGGAGGCTGATTCCAACAAAGGTAACATCATTGATCTGGAAAAGGTTCAGTGGTGCACTAGGAGAGTTGCTAGGAGTCTGACCATGTTCAGAGTTGACAGAATATAGTACAGTATGAACCAGATTGAACTTTTATCAGGGGGCTCATCTCAGCCTCCTAAGATGCATATACCTCATTTTTAATCAAGCAAAGCAAGAAAAAAAATCCCCTTCTGGATGGCCTTTGTAGTTATTGTGATGTGAACCTAGGTTCTCATCATGAACCAAATTCATGTTTTGTGCTCATCTGTTGGTATTAACCTGATGCAAAATAAAAGCAACCAACTACTAAACATGTACCATATTTATGAACTATATGGGTAACACCCTACAAATATATGCTTTGCAATGTAACAAGAGTCGCAGGAAACGCTTCTCTTGATAATACCATCACTAGGTTTCAGCCTGAGCACAGCCATGACATGGAGGCAATGTAGTTTAAACATCAATAATGAATAAACCATTTAGTTCGTGTGGTTTAATGAATGGCAGTACAATCAATTTATGTCAAACAGTCCAGTGTCGCCACTAAAATTAGCACAGACGTCACCTAGTATATCATGTTCATTTGAGGGTTGGGGCAGGTACAACATAATCATATTTGTGGTATATCAGCATGGGTCAGTTGCCAATAGCAGTTAGGACAACACAGAGCATAAGAAATTAGCAAATGTTGATTTGCTTGGTTACTCTTAAATAAAACTAGCTACAAACCCCAGGTAACTGTTTGGTATATGGCTCATGATGGCATACTCGATTTGCCAGCCATATAACTCTAATAAGTACTACAACCTTATATGGAGTTGTATTCAAAACGCTTCCCTCAGATATTCTTCTATCTGATTATTTTGCTGTTATAGTTTAGACCTACCAAAATATTGTTGGATTTTTCCTCCTCTCCTGATCAATTTATGAATTATAACCTTTCAGTAAATATTGTCGCTCCCTTTAGCATTATTTTAATTATGTAATAGATATGGTTTTGGAACTTAACTCCTAAATTCTTAATCAATGCCTAAACTCTTAAGCAAGGATTTAAATCTCCGGCTATAGCTGCCGCTATAGCCGGAGATAGCTGCTAGGAGAAGCAACCACTAAGATATATCTAATTTACAGCTACACGTTCTAAGGCGCTATTAGCTGCCTTTAGCTGGAGATAGCCGCTAAATGGGCTCTCAAATAGCGGCAGCTAACTCGTTGGTGGGCTGAAATCCTGAAATTGGCGAACGGCCCATATCACCTAACGAAACCCTAACTCTCTCCATTTTCCACTCAGTCACTCTTCGTCCTCTCCTGTCGACGGCGGCTTGCAGGCTTGCAGCGGCTGCTCAAGGAGGCAGCAGCAGCCGCGACGGCGGTTGATCCCGAAGGCGGTGGCTATGACCTGCAGTGGCGGCGGCTGCTCCCGAAGGTGGTGGCTGCGACCTGCTGCGGCAACGGTGGCGGCAGCGGCGGCGACTCCCGAAGACAACAGATCCACCAATCCCGGCCCCAAGCGATGACTGTGACAGGCGGCAGGCGGCGGTGCTTGTTCTGTCAGTATTCTTTTTCTTGTGCTCGAGCCAACCTTGTGTTGTTTCTTGGTTCAGAGATGGATTGGTGGCTTGGCTGCTCATGAATTGTTTCTTCTTGGTTTGTTGGTGGCTTGGCTGCTCATGAATTGTTTCTTCTTGGTTTGTTGGTGGCTTGGCTGCTCATGAATTGTTTCTTCTTGGTTTGTTGGTGGCTTGGCTGCTCATGAATTGTTTCTTCTTGGTTTGTTGGTGGCTTGGCTGCTCATGAATTATTTCTTCTTGGTTTGGTTGGTTGCAGTGGCCTCAGGGTGAGGAGTATGGAGGTTCTTGAATTGTTTTTTTTGGGTTCAAGTTCAGGAATTCATGGGGGAGGAATTCATGGGCATGTTCCTCCTGTAATTTAGCAAGATGGTTGAGGAAGTGGTGAGGATTTGATCCTACTGATTATCAAGCAATTCCTCTCTCCCTAGTCTTCTCTGCTTTCCCCAAGTTAAATAGCTTTCTCTTCCATATAACTGATTATCAAGTTATTTATGTCTAATTTTTGCAAAAACCGCTAAATAGCTTAGCTGCAGCTATAGCCAGCTATAGCTGATCATAGATGATGGAGAACCTAGCAGCTAAATGTCTTAGCCGGAGATTTAAATCCTTGCTCTTAAGGTGCATCTAGTAGAATCTGTTGCAGGATTAAATGATGCAAACTGGCAAACACAGATAGTACTACACAAGTTAGGACTTAATGCTTGTCTTTTGAATAGAATGTTCTAGTGCTAATACCTTTCTGTGACCTTCACCTGATATTTGTGCTAAAACCTTCCCGTTGGGCCCAATCACAACAAATGTAGGCCAAGAGTTCACCCCCAGTTCTCTCCACAAGTACATGTCCCCATCATTTACAACCTTAAGAAAGACCATAGCTTTAAAAAGTTAAGAACACCACAAAAAAGCAATAGACATGAAAGTCTATGCCAGGGAGGAGCACAGGAATGATGTTTCTCATTTCAACATTTCACAAGTTATCACAGCTGTATTACCGGATGAGTAATGTTGTAGCGCAGAACAGCATTTCTGATGGCTTCAAGATCTTTTTCATTATCAAATTTGGCAGAGTGCACACCGACAACAGTGAACTGCACAGGAACAAGCAACATTATGTAAATATCAAGATATCTTCAAATCATACCAGTTTCATCAATGAGAGACAGTGTTGCAGCAAAATTTCACATTATGGCTCGATCATGTATTATATACTTATATTCAAATTGCAGGTGCCATGAGCAGATCCATCTAATTCCTAAACATAATATCCATGATTTATAACTTACAGATGTAAGAACTAAGAATATTGGATGAGTGTAAACATGTGAGCTTATAAGGACGGAACTATACTACCAACTTTTTTTTTTTAGAACACGCAGGAGATCTGCGTATCATTTCATTAAGATAGAGAAGAAAAGATGAACGGTGTTAGAGAAAGACTCCGACACCCGTCCACCAAGGATACAACAGAACACCACACACCCAAAGGAACACCACACAAAACACACTAGTGCATTAGCAGCCCAATCCTAGTACTACCAACTTCACAAGTTGATTTTTTTGTGATGGTGAATTATAATAAATTACAAGTTTTTACAGCTCAGTTCAGAGGATCTACAGTACAATATTTTGAGGAAAACTCAGTTTCAGGACTAACGAATCACCATATGATCAGTAGAGAGTAGTTAGGAGAAAAGGAACATGAAAAAAAAAACATCATTAGAAATAAAATTAAGATTAGCATCGTCAAAATTTACGGCGCAGAAATACTGCAGTTATAATATATCAGAACAAATGTTAAGTAGCAAAGTTATAAATCATTTATTGATTCCAACCTAAAGCTCTTGAAAGAAAACTAAACATACAGTCCAGCATGCGAGGAGACAGAAGCTCACAGGTTTATCCTTGTACTTCTTCTCTATAAATTCCAGGTCGGGCAAGACATGCATGCAATTGATGCAGCAATAGGTCCAAAAATCCAACAGGACCACTCTTCCTTTTAAATCCTGCACCAAAAATTATGTAATTGCTTTAAGTGATAATGCTATATTTCCACGGACCTAAATTATGAAGCAGAAAATAAACGAAAACAAATTGTCATTCGCCAATCATCATATCTGTATACAGCTGAAAATCAACCCAACTGAAAATGGTGCCTTGTCTTGAACAGGAATAAAGAAAAGGGAAACAATCGGTACTGTAGCAAAGTTGCAGCTACTGAGAATAACCTAAAATGAGTTTAAATTACTCTTCCAAACTGAAGTGGCGCTGTATTCAACCAATCAAGCTTTCTTGGGAACTCAGGTACACAAGTAGCAGAACCTCTGAGGAAACAGTTTGGAAGTAAATTAGTGCTTCAGTAAAAATAAAAATCAACCTCAGCATGAAGCATTAGACCTTGAAAATTGATGAACATGTACTTAGTTACCTACCCAGTTTCAAAATCAGCTAAATACTTCTTTATTTGTTGAACCCTTGATGTGAGTTGTTCTCCTATAGAAACAAGGCAGAGTGTGCAGTATGTAAGAGAAAAGATTGTGAATCGAATCAAAAGACCAAGGCCAATCTTTAATTAGTTTTGGATCCGATTTCTTCCAAGCTAGTTTCACTGTAGTACTCACCAAAGTTGACTAGCAAATCTAGTCTAACGGACTAAAATGAAGCTGCCATATAATGCCAGATGGAACAAAAAAAATATGTAGCATCAAATCTCACATAACACCCCATGGTCTTTTTTCAGCACAAATCAAATCAAGTTACTGACCCGGATGATTAGCCAGGATTGATTGATTATTCAAATTATTCATTAAAAATGAACATACAGAACCTATATAGAAATTCTTACCTTCATTACTAGCAAATATCGAACTATTTCCACCCGTGAAATAATTAAGCAGCCCTTTGGGAGATACAAACTGCATGGCCTGAACAAAATAAAAATAAAAACTTCGCAATCTGATCTCAGCACAATTATAGGTGCCCAAAAAACATAGGTACCCAAAAGAATTTGCCCACTACAAGAGTGGAAATTATGGAGAATGGAACGAAAACTGCAAGCTATATTAAAATAAATTATAGAAAGTGATAACATGTGAGATGGTGCCATTAGGTTTCTTTAACATGTCATCACCCACCATGCGATACATTCCTCTTACGTAAGTTGTTCCGACAGAGAGCTCTGAGTAATTGATGCAGCCAGGCTCATACCATGGACAGTATAGAAGTGATAATTATATGTGTTGAGGAAAATGACTAACTGCAACATCGAAGACAGGAATGGTGTGAAGTGAGGCATTACTAAATTGAGGCTAAATAGCTAAGGATGTTAGGTAACAGCTAACAGTCTAATGCCCAGGTTGTGAAAGTTAGTTTAGAACCCTCATCTTGTATGTGGCAGTGCTATTATTTGAAATCATTCCTAGCAGAAGCACATTTGCAGTAATTTGTTTGGTAGTACTTAACAAAAAGAATTTAACCATTGAAGAAAAAACTAAATGAAGTCATGAATATTTGCGCTTTCGGCTCCTTCGCTTTGGCTACATCGACTACGGCACAAAGGGCTATCATCGTGTTGAGTACTCTTGCCGGTTTTTTCTCCAGTCCAAGTGTCCGCGCTGCTCACGCTTGGACTGCGGGGGGATGTTAAAGTATATGGTAGTTAGAGTCATATTAGGATAGGATTAATTTGTGTGGACTCCTTCCATATCTGTAATCCTTCCTTATCTCCTCCCCATGTACTCCTATATATACCAGCCCTGAGACTCAATAAAATCGTCCCACGTTACGCAGTATTCCTCTCTCCCTATACTATTCAACAAAATAGAAGGTGTGTAGCCCGGATATGTAAAAATCAAAGTCATACAACAAATAAGTATTGTCTCACACATGCATCAAGGGATCAAAAGCAAAGCTGAAAACCGTGAAACAACTTTGTAGTATAACAATGGTACCTTCCAATTCCTGGTTGTATAGATAAGACAAGAAACAGCTATTCCAAGACTTCCATATCTTAATATGTTCCGACGAGAACCTACCAGCCTGCAGAATTTCTTTTCTGGATGTCAATCAACTGTGTCATACCGAACTACATAATAATCCACATATTAGACCAACAGCATTGCATTCTTTTGGGCATTATATGTGAATAACTCTTGTAGCTTTTTTTTTAACAATGAAGGTTTAGTGTAAGCTGCGAGTTCTTGGAATCTGATTTGGAATAAGCTGGCAGTTTAGTACATACAAGATAGAAGTGAAGCTAAGATTCTATGATATAGTTTTAAGCTTCTTTCCAGAAACCAACCTTACCCTTCACGGGAATCATCAATTGAGCTTGCAGAATTTGTGCTCGGAGCAGATTCAGCATTAGTTGCTCCATTCAGAATCTCTGTTGAGGGTTTTAAGGAACTAATATTCTCAGTATTTTCTGTCCGTTCATCTGCACCAACTTTCTTTTAATCAGCACCAAGTACTCTAGTAGAACCAACAGCAAATGTTTCTAACTCCATTAACAATGAGACAAAAGAATGCTAAATGCTGTAATTTCTGCATTCCAATTTAACTACTTAGAAAAGTGAAGTCCAACCCCAATTCAAGGAAATGGGATAGGGGTCTTATTCAAACCAATGAAACAAAGCAAATATAATGAGTTTTGCACAACAAGATATGCAGATTTTTTTTTTCTTTCCAGTTTCAAATACAAGAGATGCATTATTTTATTGAAATAAACTTTGCTTGAACTACATACTGTGGTAAGCATTAGAACCACCATACAAAATATCTCTAATTGAAATATCTCCAATATTCTTCCGTATGAGTGAGGGACTGGCTTGCTGTAACGCATCTTCCTCCAGAGTAGTCATCACAGCAATGCATCTGCAAAATTTGTAAATAGCATAACTATTTATGCTAAATGCTCCTTCGTGTACAATTTTTTTCTCAATTAAATGAAACCTGAAGGGGGTTCCTTATGTTCCTCAATCAAAAACATTAAAGATAATAAAAAAGATACATTGCACCACTTATTTGAATTGCATGGATTTGAACAGTCAGACTAAATAATTAAAAGATGGTCGTTACTCAGGGCATCCCTCCTAATAAGGACATCATAAATGATTTGGACTGAAGAGCATATATCTAATATGTGCTATTTTTGCCACAGCTCAAGGAAGTACATAAAACTAGTGGCTTAGGATATCAACCAAAATAATGCCATTCCATTATTGCCTCCCAAGAAAATATCAAAATACGTCTTCTGAGAACTTAAATACTGTTATCATTGTTGAATTGGTCATATGATAACATATGGTACTAATCTTTTTCTAAGAAAATCCATATTAAAATATATGATTGCAATCAATAAAGGTTGTGCAGTAATCAAAATAAGAAGACATAAACATGACGATAGGTACCACGGACCTCATTTCGGCAGCTTTTGCAGCTTGAACTCCAGCAAGTGCGTCTTCTATCACAATGCACTGGTACAATACCGCAAATTCATCACACCCCATTCAAAATGTTTAGAAAATAAACATCTGGAAAGTATTACTGACATCTGGAAACAATAAAATAAGGCAACTAGCCAAGTGGTAACATACTCAACATTTCATTTCACTACTACCATCTTTGGGCTTGTAATGACAAAGTACTGCAGCCACCACCCAGAATTAGCCACAAATGCTCTACATATAGGTCATGAAGGTGCATATTTATTATTGCCAACAATGATGCATTGTCTAATGATGCTTCAAACAGCGATACAGGGGAAAGGGCATCTATTTTACATGTATGATGGGTCTTCCATAACATGGAATAGGACTTAACTCCTCTGCAGTACTGCTTCTGCAGTAGGAGTCGCTGACATTGGAATAGCATTGCTAGTCATAACCATAAATCATTCAGAAGCTATAAAAATAGCTAGACAAGCCTTCTTCCGCTGTCTGTTTGATCTAGGATGTATTTCTCCGTGTACCAAGAGGCTATTTATGAACTATGTCTTACATATAAAGTGTTTGTAGGATTGAGGTTCACATCAGAATGATGGAGATTTACCAAATTCACTTCCACACAGCATAAAACCAGAAAGTAGATATTTTCCATAGCCAGTAAATTCTAAGTTGCTGATCTTATCATAAAAGATTGTCTCCATAATAATTTGCTAGACAATTACCTCATCTGTGTCAACACCTAGGGTTTTAGATGCTGCCAAAAAAATGTCCGGAGCAGGCTTCAAATTTTCAAATGCATCAGCAGAAACAATGGCATCGAATCTGAAATTTGAAATAGGTTTATCAAAACTAAATAGCAAACAATTAAGAGATTAAATTATTGCAATAATACATCTTCAGAATTATCAGTGACTCCCAATGGTTTTAGAATATTTGGAAATACCTAACACGACACTCTCTCTGAAACAGAATTATGATTTAATTTCTATCAATTAAATAAAGCTCTTCGCTGGTAAAAGAGAGAATGTCGTGGAGATTCTCAAACATAAGATTTCGAAGAACATCGAAGGAAATTGAAATTTCAGTAGCCTGGCAAGTGCAGAGAAAAGGGTCAACCTATGGGTTTTGCTTTAACTTAGAACTTTATTCTGGTTCATGGGAGGTATGAAGAGGTATAGCCAACTCATAGCATTAATAGTTTAATACTCGGTACCTCTTGATACAAAAAAAAAATCATGACTTAAATAATAAGACAGTAGCATGATAGCAACAAGATATCCAGTTTATATTCCTACTTTCCTTGATGGTTTTTTTTTCTCTGACCAATAAATAGCTACTCTCTTATGTTGAGTACCTACTGGAACCACCATCAGAGAAAGTTTGATTCAGACTGAAAAAAATTGTGAAGACAAACAAAAAGGCAACTAACATATATGATCTTAGGCAAAATATGACAAGATTCTCTCAAAAAAATGACATAAACCATGTAATATATTGGAATAACAATGATACTTAAAATGCTAGTAGTAGCAAAGAAATCTTGGAACGTGAGCACAACGATGGCATTAGCAAGTAAGTGCTTGGAATGCAAAGGAATAAGCAAACACCTACAGCGACAGAGGCAAACCAGCAGCTGCCAAATTTGCATCCACCTTAATCCTATCAGCACTGGATGCAACAGCAACCTTCAAACCTGCATTTTTGCACTGAAATATTGACAGGAATGAGCTGATGATCACTTATTACCAAAGTACAACAAGTTTTAACTCAGGCACTGCAAATACAGAAATACCTCTGTTACGAGATCTAGAGCCCCAGGGAATCCAATGCCAGCATTTGGCTTTGCATACTACAGAATGGAACATAATTTAAGAATGACGCCATCAAACTACAATGAGAATAAACAGGAGAGATGGTATGAACAAATTAACCTTGTCAAGATATATCTCAAAAAAACGTTTCTTGGCACTTTCAGCGTTGAAATCTTTCACTCCCTTCAACTTCGCTACACCTCCAAGGAAATTAGCCTCACCTAGAATATATATTACAACATTTCAAACAAACTACACCCAACAAAATCTGAAGGTAGCTAAATTCATTTGTGTAGAGGGCGATCCTGTCAAAAACGGCAGCAGTTATAGGTTGTCATCCCCCAAAGTAAAATAGGTAAGACATTTTCTGTCTAGAGATAGCCTCAATACTTCTCCCAACTTCTATATTGAAAAAAAAAGTAATATTTTCTTAGTCCTCACATACTTGTCATACAAAGTAGGCAATTAACATCTCTCGCAAGCACTCTGATGCAACAATATACTCTATAGGCATTAAGAGCATGCTAAGGGGTTTACGGTTACTATCTAATTAGCATTCAGCTTAGCAATCACTACAATTGCCAAGGGATCACAGAAGATCAGCAATGGTAGGCCATATGACATACTGATTGCCGTATCCACTTTAAGAAACATAAAGCCACAGAACTTCAGAGGATACAAGCAGCGGCGGAGCTTCCGATATGGCAAGATATGGCACTCGCCATACCTCAATTCTATTAGCCACCGGTGGAGTCTATGCTTGCATGATTAACATTCACTGATTCCTCCTTGTAATTAGCTGACTTGGATGTTAGTTAGTTACGTGAAGCAACTAACCTAGTATCTTGTTTTCACTCCTTGTGATTAGCTGCTTGTATAAGCATAAGTTGTTAGCTAGTTACATGATGTAACCTAGATCAAGGTTTAATCTATATGTTTGGCAATATCTATCTTTCCGAAATAATTTGAAATTTGAACAAATTTTGATCAAATTTGAATAGATTTTGCTATATTCAAAAGTTTTCTTTGAAAATTTCCAAATTTTCGAAAATTTCATTCGGGAATTTTGAATCCTAACATAGATCAATATGATTTGTTGCATCAAAACAACTTTTGCAAGAACTTTTAGCGATGCATGGGAACACATTGCAAAACTATGCCGTATTACCTACAAAGTATTATGTTGTTTTTGCTGCCACACCTTATTGTTTTCTCTTCCTCCGCCACTGGATACAAGCACCCTGTCAAAAACTATTCTGATGGAAATGTATAACTATGGATGTGACCACAGACCACTGTTACAGGCATCCTAATGAAATAGGAGTATAGTACTATAATACATATAGAGTTTGGCAGGTAGCGGAGATACGAAACCAACGACGTCAAGGGAGATCCCGGGAAATATTATGTCTAATATAGGAAGCTACTAATTGCTACAATTACCGAATCACACGCAACTTAAACAGCCTACGACCAAGTTTATGTCACACAAGCATAGCTACGCTTACCAATCACGAATCATGAGTAATCGAGAAAAGTAAAATAAAAATGCGCGAACTACATTGTCAATTCCCAGTACCAGTAGGTTGTTGAACGTCGAGACAATTTACCTGTGCCCATGTAAGGAACAAAGTCGTCCCCGGTGACGTCGACGCCCATCTCGGCAAATAAGTCGACGCCCGCGAGGCGCGAGAGCTCCTCGCTGTTGCAGAGCACGCCGTCCATGTCGAAGAGCACGGCGGAGACCTTCCCCCAGGCCCCCGGCGCTACCTCGGTCTCCGGCGAGGAGGATGCCGGGGCGGAGGCGGCGGCGACGTCGCGCCGCCCGCGGCGAGGGAATTCCATTGCGGCGGCGGCCGGCGGTATTAGGGTTTTGGGGAGGAGAAGGAGAGGGCGCGGCGGCGGTGCCGGGGAGGAAGGCGGGTAGTGCCGGGAGGCGAGGAGGCGGTGGAAGCTTCCTGGTGGCGCGAGGTGCCGCGCCATGGCGAGGTGGGCGTGTGGTTTGTCAGGTTTTGGGCTCGCCGCTCGCGAGCTCGAGTAGTGTCGAGTGTGTGTGGCGGTTGGTTGGGGACGGTTTATGCGCGGCGATGGCTGCGACGCACGAGTGGATGGACGAGGTGTGTTTCTGCGGCTCTGTTGGCCTGTGGTGGATACGTCTGCCGTGTGGTGTGGCCTTATCTTGGCGTGATCGACTCCAGTCACACAAAAAAAATAGGAATGGGAAATTGAACTTTTATTTTGCTCCAAAAGCACCGCGTGAGGAATACTCACAAAATTCAACACAAGTATTCGCTGCCAAAAATTTAAATTTTTAAAATTAATTTTAAAATTAATTTTGAACTATTTTTCATCGAGGTTTATTTTTTACATTGACACTTAAATCACTAAGTATATATGTATATAAATATTTTCCCTATAAATTATTATTATTTTGCTAATACATCATTCGGCATATTATCCTCAATTGGCCAACATTATGTCTATGAAATTCCTTTATCGCTCTGAAAGCATGAAATTCAACATGACTATATGAAATCCTCGTATGTGCAATACTTTATGAAATTTTGCTTTGAAAAGACTAGGGTGAACATTCAATTAGTTATATATGCAACAGGTAAAGACGTATTTTATATAATATACTCCCTCCATCTACTTTTGATATTAATATTTCACCTTGGTACACAGACTAAGGATAAGTAACTCTACTTATCATCCATTTAAACATGCTACTAGTTATTCCTCGTAAACAAGCGATTCATTAATATTTGCATTTCTCAATGCCCATGTAGCCAATCTTGTGTAGAAGAATGGAGAGTCACGCATTAAATCCGAGAAAGTCATTAAAATGATAGGTTGTTGGATTGAAATATGCCTATTAAAAATAAATTTTTTAGATTTGAAAATATGGCTATCAACAGTAGATGTAGGGAGTATTAAGAGAATAAGAGCTGAGTAATAAATTGAAATATTGGGATCACTTTACATTATAATTGAAAAGGTTAATGAAAATATAAACATTAGGATCAAAGTATATATATATATATATATATATATATATATATATATATATATATTAAAATTGAAAAAAATAATGAAAATCTTTTCTAGCTTTTGGGCCAAAAGCCTTTCTTCCTTCTCAGTACCTAGGCCAGTCCACTGCCTCCTTCCGTTTGGCTTGCTTCCCTTCGACCAAGGGACAACCAGAGACAAGTGGAGCCGTAAGCCCAGCTCGCAGTGTCCACTACCATCTTCAACCTCCCGAAGATAGTCTCGTCCGTGTCCATATGGCTGCCTGTCACCCAAAATTGGTTGAGGATTTTTGATCCACTCGATCTATTAAAGCCGAATCGAAAGGGAAAATCATGGAGAAAATGATAAGTGAGGAGTGGAATGATTTTTGCAATTAAATTGGAGGAGAAAACACACTATCGATATGGTGGCGGTGGGCGGCGGGAGGCGTGCGGGGAATGGATCGGATTAAAAAGCGCACGGGAGAAAAAAATAGCAACAAAAAATTGACAAAAAAACCAAAAGCGCCAGGCGCGCTGTGAACAGATAGGAATTAAAAAAACCGGACGAAAAAAAACCAAAGCATTAGCGCGTGCGAAAAAAACTCTTTCGCGTGAAAAAAAAGGTCGGGAAAAAACCGGTGCAAAAAATCAAACGGACTTTTTTGTTTTTTTACAGGCGAAAGTCTTTTTTGGGAGTCGGACAATTTTTTTTTGTACGACTACAATTTTGAGTAAGTCGAACCTTTTTTTACAAAACGGAATTTGTTGTCTCGGTAGTAGAGATAGAAATTAGAACCGAAACATAAAATTAAAACCGATTCAAACATGGATGGCGTACCAAAATACCGATAAAAACATCTTCAATTTTTATAACAGTAAAGATATGTAGTACAACTAATTCATTTGTTGCTTATTCTTTTACGTTATTTTCTACTCCCTATCATCATCAATATTTGGCATTTAGGATAAGATTCAATCAAACTTTTTAAACGCAGACACATATGCATAGACATGCTGCCAACCGCCTTAATGTTGTGGCCCCTTAGCTATGAAAGTCCACCTCGTATGTCTCATAGGTCACCAAACCACTATCACCAAGTGCGCGGGTGTTGCACACCTATCGTTGTTCCTGCGTCGGCTCGTATCCAGAGCCAACTCATTGCCGAACCACATGGCGTGTCCACGCACCCTACCTCATTGCCAAGGACCTAGATCCACTAATCGCAGCCAGCGCTGGTCCTGAGTTTTTAGGGACCGGTGCAAATTATAATATAGAGGCCCAATTTTTTATGGTAATGTGTATCATGTTTTTCATAAAAAAAATTGTGTCTAAACACAATCTTAAGTATTTATTGATAACAATTCATACAAATTACAATACAAAACTAAAAAATTAAAATTTAAAATCTTACCCAATTAGTTGATCGTGGGAGGCCCGATGTGCATAGCAAGTGAGTCGACAACACACTAGCGCAACATCATTCAACCGTCGAACCCCAAGCTCAACCTCTGATGCTATGAACTCTGATTCTGCTTCGTTGAAGAACTAACAAGAGAAACAAACAAACCTTTTAACATAACATAGCAAGGTGCAGTGCAGATGGCAACATATATAAATTTTGCAATTCAATTGACGATGGCAACGTGGTAGTGTCATTGTTTCTTGCTGCTCACTTCTTCTTGATCGTCAGGATCCGAGCATCGGTGCAGTTTAGCAGTTTCAAACTACAACATCACTTACACTTGCAACATATGGAATTGATCGGCTGCCTGAGACGAGACAAGATGAACGACTCACGTGCGATTGCAGCCGACGCTAGCCTAGGAAGTGTCGATTTGGAGGACGCCACATGCTGCGGCGGCAACTAAGCCAGCAATATTGCGACTTGCGTTCGTGTACACTCTCGGCTGTTCGGCATTGCTTACATTCGATGGTTAGCTGCTTTCTATTGGGCCACGACAACAAAATCCCATATCGTGTGGGTTGGGGGTAGCCAGGTGGGGGGCCCTACGACTAGGGGGTCCAGAGCAACCGCACCGCTCCCCCTCCCCCTCCCCCTCCCCAAGGATCGGCCAATCCTGATCACAACCTCTTGCCACACCACAACATAGACATACGAAGTGTCACACCTTAACTATTGAGTTCCTGAAGGGAGCTATATGACCAAGGTTTAGGTGGAGGTTGCTCATGGCCTCAAAGAACAATTTTTCTAAGCTTGTCCTCACCACCACCACCAATGGATGCCCCAGCCACCAAGCTCCATTGGGTCACTATTTTACATTATAGCATCAATTACTCTGGATCAACACCACCATGATCTTTGGTAAGGCAAATTTCCGCCAATGTGTCTTCCATTGCATCGGCAAGCTCTTGATCATGTAGACAATGTTGCATTCGTTCATCTGCTTCCATCCAGTCTTTAAGACAAAAGATTGACTCAACTGTCTCGGCTGTCAGGCATGACCTTCGTTCTTTTCTCCCTAATGATTCCAGTAACGCTGAATGCTTGCTCGGAAGAAACGAAGGAGGCCGGAACCAGAAGAATATCTCGAGCAAAGTGAGCTAACACAGGAAGAGTTCGCTCTTTCTCTTTCCACCACCCAAGGAGATCGACATCGTCGCCACCAAGCGTCGGATCATGCTTAGTATGATTGGTGACGAGGTAGTGGTTAAGCTCTGAATCCGGGTTCCATGTTGATTTGTTCTCTGAGGATGGAGAGGCTTGGTCGTTTCCTATATACTGCTTCCACAAATTTACTGCACTTGACTTTCTTGCTTTCTTTTGTGAGGTCTGCTCAGGAACTCGAGGAGTACCACCAAGCTTGGTTCGGTACAGATGGAAAACCCTATAGAGCTCATCATTGACATGTTGAAAAGCTTCAGAATAATCAAGCCCCACTGCATAACCTATTGAGTTCATGGCAACCTTGGCGATTTCCAACTTTTTGCGAGGATCAAGTATCAAAGCAAAGTAATAAAGGTGAGGTATAGAGGTGAAGTATTTGGGAAAATTTTCTTCCATGGGTTTAACAATGGAAGACAGAATACGATCAGATCGGTTTTCATCAAAAACAAGTGCTAGTTTCCAAATCCACTCAAGCACCAAACAAGATGTAGGATAGTAAATTCCTAATAATTGAACTGTAGCATTATAAAAGGGCTTCAGAAATTTACGCACACGTGTAGTGATCTCTCAGTCCTAATCGGTGAGAATCAAAATCTCACAATCGCCATCGTCATCGGTATCCTTCATTCTGACATGCATCGAATTGATGAAAATAGAAATTAACTCCTCATACCCTTTTAACTGACGCAGCAACAGGTATGTTGTGTTCCACCTATGTTTGACATCAATGCCAAAACATCCGTCCAGGTTTCTTCTTTGCTTTACAGTAGTCTTGGAACCTCGCTTTGACCACTGTGTTACCTCCTATGATATGAACAGAACGGCGAATTTTGTTTAACAATTTATCCAGAACAATCATGCCTGCAAAACAAATAGGTCGCATACATTAAAATAAATAAGCAATATGCCGCATACACTAAAATCAATAAATTATTAATAACATTAGTACCTGGTTGAACGATGAGATTGATCATGTGACAAATGCATCTCTGATGAATAACAAAGCCTCCAACATAACTTCGTAGATCCGGCTCCAAAATCGACATGGCCATTGTGTTTGCTAATGCATTGTCAAGAGTAATGGAAAAAACCCTAGATTGTAAATTGAATTCTCTCAATACCTCTAGGATTGTCGTGGCTATGGCATCTCCCATGTGTGACGTCATGAGTTTGAACCCTATGACTTTCTTATTTAATGACCGATTGTTGTCAAGATAATGAAGAACAACACTAAGGTAAGATGTTCTTTTGTGTTGGGATGCCCAGTTGTCTGATGTCATAGCAAATGAAAAACTAGTAGTACTGAAAGTTTGCTTCAGCACACTCAACTTAGAACGGTATATAGCTGCAATATCGTTCTTGGTGGTTTTCCTAGAAACCTTTATGTACTGTGGGCAAAAAGCTTTTTGGATCATTCTCTCAAAATGTTTGCTTCCCCCATTCTAATTGGTAGATCCTCAGCAACAATGAACTTAGCAATCTCTTCTCTAGCTATTTTTGGATCATAGGTCCATGTACTTACTAAATCATCAGGGCCGAAGGACAATTATGTCTGTCTTGCACCTGCTGGCGCCTTGTTCTTGAGATGCGCCAAGTAATGCCGGTTGAGATGGCATGTCCCTGAAGAAGTAGCTGCAGATAAAATTTTGTCGCAATATTTGCATTGAGCACGAGGTATACTTTTACCGTCAACTATCTCGGTGAATACTTCGAAGTGCTGCCAACACTCCGCTCTTCTGGCAAATGGCTGGTTATCGGAATTTGGTGTGGGCAACGTCGTGGCGTCGGCGTTGACGGAGAAGTTGGCCTTGCCAGGAGATGGCTGATCATTGTCGTCGCCCTCCAGACCATCCATGTGGCGATCATCCATCCCGCAGTCATCCATGCCCAGGGATAGCTGTCGGGCATCGACCGACCTCTGGGATGGACCGGTTGTCGACTCGTGTTGACGCTATTTGGACCTCCGCATATTTTCTATAAAAAATGGATACGGTGGGGAGATGTGTTGAAAGAAGAAGTGTGTTGAAATAAAAAAAAAATGGGTATGGTTTATATAGGGTATGCCAGGGCCGAGTGCCAGGCTCTTCTCCTCTACATTGCCTCCTCGGTTACCGGCCGGCGATGCGTCTGAACTCTGAACGACTCCTCGACGGCTCGACTGATCGACTCTTCGGCGGCTTGGCTAAGCGCGTGACTCCTCGCGGTTGCGGCCCATATCTGAACATGTCGGCTGAAGTCTGACCACGCACGCACGCGCTCGGTGGCTCGGCGCTCCTGCCTCCTGATCTCCTCGCGGCCGGCCCGAATTGCACGCGGCCACGCGCTCCTGAGTCTTGACACCTGACTCCTCGCGCACTCGGGCCGCTCGGCTAGGGTAGAGCTCGGGCCGGCCTTCGGGCCTTTTTCGTGCTAGGCCGGCCTTCGGGCCTTTTTCATGCTAGGCTGGCCCAGGCACAACCCAATGGCCGTGCCGTGCCTCAACTTACGGCCCAGGTACGGCCCAACTACGGGCCATGCTGGCCCGGCCCATAGCCGTGCCATGCTGGGCCATCCTGCCTTGGGCCGGCCCGAGAAAGCATGGCCTAAGTCCCAGCTCTATCACAAGATGGTGGGCTAGACGACCTGGGATTGAAGTCTCACCCCTTCTAACTATTTGATATTAGGTCCTTCCCTAATATTCGTGTTTTTTTAACATCAACATCCTGCAACTAAAAACCAGTCGCCATCTAATTCATGTGTCGTCCATTCTCTCACGAAACTATCAATATAATCTTAATTTATAAAAGTACGAATCACCCCCCCCCATTATCACGGTCGACCAAATTACACCTCCAAATTGAAATACCAGACACTATACACCCTCAACTATTTATACCGGACAAATAACCCCCCTTAACACTGTTTTGAGCGGTTTTGACTTGAGCTTGCACACGTGGAGCCAAAGTGGAAATCTAGTCAGCAAAAAAATGAAAAAAAAAACTCCCTGGGCCCACCTGTCATACCCCTCCCTCAAGGCCTCAACCCAATCCTTCCCCATGGTTATCTCTCTCGCGCACGCGCTCAGGCCTCAGGCGGCCGACTGCGGAGCTCGCGAAGGAGGCGGCGGATTGGGTGGCCGGCGGCAACGGCGCGTGGCCCAGAGGTGGTGGTCTTCGCGGTCTACGGTGAGCGCCGGTGACCCCGAGCCACCCTCCTCGAGTTCCTCCGCTCCGGCACCTGCTTCACCACCACCGGTGCTTGCACGGTGAGACGACCGTCGGAGTGGCGTTGTCTCGAGCACACCCACCCATTCCCCGAGCAAGCTCGAGCTCCTGCGCGTGGGATTGACGAGACGCCGCCTCGAGCCCACCTCACCGCTGCCCCGCCGTCTCCAATGCCCTCCTCGCAAGTGCCCCGTCGTCTCCAATGCCCTCCTCGCAAGTGCCCCGTCGTCTCCAATGCCCTCCTCGCCAGTGCCCCACCGTCTCCAACCCCCATCGCGCCCTCCCCGTCACACCCGCCATGTCCTCCCAGCCGTCGGCCGTCGACCGCCCTCTCGCCATGCCCAGGGTAGCCGACCAACTCCTCCACTCCGGTCAAGGACCGCCGCCGCCTGAGCTTCGCTAGTGTGGCCCTGTCTCTACCACCACTGACGCCGGGGTCCAGACTCTGCTCCCGCTCTACTTCGGCATCACCGGAGGATGGATGTTGCTTCACCGCCTCGATCTACTCCGCCGACCCCGTCGTCAAGAGGCCACCACTGACCGTCGTCCCTTTGTCGCGGGATCCCCCGCCGGTTGGCCCCGGTCCTCTAGCGTCCGCAGTCGAGGCTGCCGGCGTCGCTCAGGGGAACCCGTCTCTGTCCACGGACTTCCCGGCTCCGGTTGGCGCCTTCTCCTGCAATCGCCGCCAAGGCGCCAACCGGTTCCCCCTCCCTGCCGCCCCGTCGCCGCCTAGAGAGCACTCCCAGCCGCACCCCCTCCTCGTCGCTCCCGCCGCCACTTGGAGTGCCCTCCGCCGACCGATTCCCCTTCCCCGCCGCCACTTGCCTCCAACGCTAACAGCACACACGGAGAAGGTATTAATATGACATGTGGCCCTATATTATTTTATTTTATTTTTTGTTGATTGGATTTTTACGTCGGCGCCACTTGTATGCCACGTAGGACCAAAACTACTCCGGATTGAATCGGGGGATAATTTATCCGGTTTCAATAGTTCGAGGTTTAATATGTCTGGTTTTATGGTTTCAGGGGGTAATTTGTAATGTCGCAATAGTTTAGGGGGTAATTCGTATTTTTTCCATTATTTTTTATACCAAACTATCTCAATATCGTCTTAATTATTTGTACCTAACTATACCTCGATATCGTGCTTTGTACGATTAATCTAAGATGTAGCTTATCCAGAAATTTTCATAAAACTAGTTCACTTTATTTGTCATACAAAATTGTTGTAACAACTCACGTGATATTTTATTTCAGTAATAACACAGATTCAACGGCATGATATCGATCTAGGGGAGATGATGTCAAAGCAGTGCTAGCTTATTTACTTGCACTACACATACAAGTATGGCAAAACATCGTGAATATCATTGGAAAGCTATGGCAAAACAACGGGATTATATATATACCCACTAACCGGATCCATATATATTCGATTTTGGGTGGTGGTTGTTAAGTTGGCATTTGCAAGCTTAAAAATAAAGGAATAAAAATGACCTATGTCGTGCTTTTATAAGGAAAACCTAGTGGCAAGGACCACAGTTATATCGTACTGACGTACTCCACTGAGTAGTGCGTAATTGCGTATGTCCAGCCCTGCTCATCAGTTGAAGGCTTGAAGCAAACAAGACCAACAATCCCGCTCTCGCTCAGCTGGGACTCTAGCTCCCGTATGAACAAATTTGCATCCATTATCTTTGCCTGCACACCCTTTTTTTCCCCTGATTACGATGCAGGTTTTACTTTAATTTTTATTAGCATGTTTTTAAAGCTGCTAGGAGCAAGTATGATAACAAACTATAAGAGCAGATACGATAGCAGGCTATAAGTCAGCTACAAACACATATCGAGTAGATAAAATAGAAGAGAGAAGAGCAGCGAACTATATATTTATAGTCAGCAGCACGGACTGAAAGACGTAATGTGTGTATAACAGGTGGCACCATATACCAATAGTACACTAGTATAGTATATTTTTATATGTAACTATTTATATGTATTGGCTATTAAATTAACTATAAATGGTTTGACTATACTATTACACTTGCCCTAAGTCAACCATGAACAAATGTGAAGGAGACAAGAGAGAAAAGAACACAGTGTGAATGTGCAGGGCGTGACCGTAGCCTCCTCCCAGCGATGTCGCCGAGGACCGCCATCACCGGAGAAAATCCGCCGCCACCACCGCTCGGAACCTTGCCGCTGCTCCGCTGGAGAGCTCGTCGGCTGCACCTCAAAGGAGCGCCGGCGAGGAGAGGCGGGGTCGACGCCGAGAGAGGAGGGGCCCGGCGCCGCTCCAGATCCGCGCCGCCGCCGCCGCCGTCCTCCTCGCTCCGCCTCCTCGTCGCCACCGAGAGAGGAGGAGCCCGGTGCCACTCCAGATCCGCACCGCCGCCGCCGTCCTCCTCGCTCCGTCTCCTCGTCGCCGGCGCGGCTCTCCACTCCAGTCCCCCACTCTCGTTGAGCTCGGCGAGGTGCGGCGTGCGGGGCGAGACGAGAGGCGGCGCGCGGAGAAGGAGGAGGCGTTGTCCCGGCGACGTGCGAAGCTCGGGCTGGCGGGGACGGCGCGCGTCGCCACGGGCGACGACGACACGGCGTCGGTGGCGACGACGGCGACTACCACCACCGCGCACAAGGCGTTGTCGAGCACCCCGCCATTCTACTACGCGCACGGCGTTATGCAGACGGCGGACACCAAGGACCTCATCCTCGCCATCCCCAAGCTGGAGTCTGCTGTGTGGAGGTGGTCGCCGGCCCGGCGCTGGAAAGGGGAAAGTGGGATAGAGTGGAGGTGGTCGCTGAGAATGGGAAAGTAGCAGAGAGAATGGGTTGGAGTGGTTGGCTTGAGGATCCCGTGTAGTAACCTGCACCATGTGAGACTATGTGTGGTGTGGATTCGTTATGCATCTACAAGGTAACTCAAACGAGGGACTTGCACTGCTACCGCCCTTACACCTCAATTTTCATAGAGCTGCCCAACCTTTTTATGAAGTCCAAACTGAAAAAGAATAGGAGTAGACTGCAGTTGGGTTCCTCCTTTTCGAGGATCTTTCCCAAATTTTCGGTTCAGATTGAAAAAGAAACTTGCTTCAAAAACTGCACCACAGTCCACAGCACACCCTGCTCCTTCGGTCTGTCGTCCTCCTATGCAAATGCGAGTAGTTACACCTGAATTTTCATAGAGCTGTCAAACCTTTTATAAAGTCTAAACTGAAAAAGAATAGGAGTAGACTGCAGTTGGGTTCCTCCTCTTTTTCGAGGATCTTACACAAATTTTCGGTTCAGATTGAAAAAGAAACTTGCTTAAAAAAGGATTGAGAAAAGAAACATCTCATTAGTTCCAAATAAAACCTACCCCCAACTCACACCATCGATGCTCAGCTTCAATACAAACTTTTCAACTTTTTTCTATGGAAGAAGCTGCATCGGGGAGTTTTTAATACCCCTATTTTCGGGAGCAGTTACGCCCAATTAAACATCCCTCACGCTTCTCGAAACTCGAAAATCGCTCAACAATCACATCACCACAACACCACCAACCAACAAATTGAAGTCTCCCAATCAATGCATCAATGCAGAGTTTGAGAAGATGCGGTCCAATTTGTGGGCGAGCAGCCGAGGACGATGGCGAGCTCCTCGAGCCCCACGCAACCATCGCCGTCGCCGCCGCCGGCCACGCGTATCATGGCGCGGATCTCCTCGTCGGCCGCCGGCATCCCGGCCCAGCCGAGGTACGCCTTGAGGTCGTCGAACCCCACCTTGCCGTCCCCGTCGCGGTCCATCACCCGGAGCACGTCCTCCATCGCGGGCCGGCACCCCGCCCCCGCGGCGGCGCGCCCCAGCAGGCGCTCGAACTCGTCGTACTGCACGAACCCGTCGTTGTCCACGTCGGCTGCGGCGATCATGGCGGCGATGTCCTCGTCGTCGAACCGCTCGCTGGTGGCCGCGCCGCTGGCGTAGAACGACTTGAGGTCCTCCCGGCTGATGCGACCGTCGCGGTCCGCGTCCAGCACGTCGAACGCCGGCCTCAGGTCTCCCGCCGCCGCGCAGGCGGGGACGTCGAGGCCCGCGTATCTGCCTCCGGGACACATGCTCGCTAACGCGAAGGGGAGAAGAGGAAAACAAAAACTCTGGAACAATCTGTGGCCTCGACGGATTCTTTTGGATCTCTGGTTTGTGTTCCTCGTTGAGGTCGCGGCGGTGGGGCGCCATTTATAGAAGAGTGGCCACGACGGACTCTCCGGGCCAGCGAGGGCGCCGTCCCTGGACTCGGTGTATGAGCTGTCCTGCACGCGCATGAGATCGATGGCGTGGCCCACGTGCGTCCTTCGGTCCGCGAACGTGAGACGGGGTGTTTGATGTGTTGGTGGGCTCGGTGCATGCAGGTTATCTGTTCGTCAACGCGCGACTCGAGAGATTTTATAAAGATTTTGTGAATTGGTTTACAAAAAGAGATTTCAATGGTGGGAGGAAGCTATAGCTTGGAGGGCACGGAGGACACGCGCTGAGGTCGCGGACGGGTGGACCGGTCCAAACGGGAAGACGTGTTGGGTGACGTCAGTGGTGTCTTCGTGGGGAGGAGGAGGACGCGTCGGTCGTTCTACAGGTGAGATCTTTCGTGGCGTCAGCGGGGCAGCGGATGCGAGGGCACGAGATCGACCGTGCGAGTTCTCTCAGCTCCGTGTGGTATGGATGTGTGGTAGCTGGACTGTTTCTGCCATGAGTTTGGAGCTTTTCGAAGTGAGGTGTACTAGCAGCTTGCCCGTGACTGCTTTCCAAGAGTTGCGGATCCATGTCCTCGCAATAATAAAAAGAAATTGTGCGGTTTTTTCTGCCGTTATTTCTTTTAAGGGTGTGTTTAGTTTACGTTAAAATTGAAAGTTTGATTGTAATTGGAACGATGTGGTGGAAAATTGAAAGTTTATTTGTGTAGAAAAATTTTGATGTGATGAAAAAGTTAAAAATTTGATAAAATAAATTGGAAACTAAACCAGGCCTTAGTCTGATCGTTTGTGCTGCTTTTGAAGCGGTTAGAGCTGCGGTTATACCGTATGTGCAGTGAAGTAGTAAAAGTGTGTTAGGTTTGGTGTTGCACAACTGCAACAGTCCCTCCCGATCAGCCCTTTTGGCTTAACGAGATGCGACTTTTAGAAACATTTTACATAAATTCTAATAATATGATTTCAAAAAATAAATTTCAATTTTATAATATTTAATTTATTCTTTTGAACTCCACCTTTAAATAATTATCACAATTTTTTAACTACTAAGCCATTCAGCGAAACCTCAATAGATAATTGCGAATCCAACATGAGCATCTTAATTTTCAGGCAACGGAAGAAGCACTTTGGTCTGATTCCATTTTTTGTGGAGGAAGAATCTCATGCCGCCGCAACAAACGGTCACAAACGAAAGACCCTCACCTCTCACCAGTCACCACGAGGGGAATATGACAAATTGACAAGCTCTTTGAGGTGACAGCAGGGAGATTCCGGCGCATGTGCTCTACTACCTCCGTCCAAAAAAAAAAAACCCTAAATTTACATGTCCAACATTTGACTGTCTGTCTTATATAAAACTTTTTTATAATTAGTATTTTCATTGTTGTTAGATGATAAAACATGATTAATGCTTTATGTGTGACTTGTCTTTTTAATTTTTTTTATAATTTTTTCAAATAAGACGGACGGTCAAACGTTGGACACGGAAATCCAGTGTTTGTCTTTTTTTGGATGGAGGGAGTACTCTCTATCGTTGAAATAATAGATATGCCTTAGCCCATTCAAGTAATAATTCGAAAATCATAAAAATCCACCTCATAAGATGGTATATATGGGGTGTTTGGTATTAACTTCCCTATTCTAAGAGAGGGAGACATCTTTATAAGCGAGGGTGCTCTCCTAGCCACTTGAGGCATGTGAGGTGGAGATAAGAGCATTACCAACAGTATTCCTATATTTCATCCCCAAATATTTTTTATGGGAATGCCAAACAAAGTTTAAGGTGTAAAAATAGTGATCCCTCCAAAAGATTAGCTAAAATTGATTTCCTAAAAACTAAAAGTGAAGCCACACAAAACTACCAACAGAAATTTGTTTCCCTTTCCTTGCTGCGATATCATGCTCCAAGCGACTAGTTATCGCACTAGATCACCGATCGGTGTCACTCCTCTCCACGCGATCCAGTGAGATCGATCCTTACGATGCTCTCCTCGGCCGGGCATCTCCCAGCTTCCCTACCCTCCCTGTTCGTCGTTGAGCAATCTTCTTGTCCTGCCGCCTCTTATTCCTCTCCGAAGGAACAAGGAGAGATAGAGATGAGTTTTTGAAGTAACTTCTTCCAAATGCTTGTCAAAACCTTTGCACGTATATTTCAACAGCAACAAGTAGCAGATTTAACGTGGATAATGTGGAATCAATTTGTACTCTAGTGAAACAAGAAGTCTGAATCTTGATTCTGAAGCTGAATTTTACTAAACTTGAAATCTCCTTTTTTTTCCCATCCAACAATAATTGTGGGCAACAGAGTGCATGAACTTGGTAAACTATACAAACTACGATGAACTATTGCTACTTGCAACAATTTTCAGTTTTCAGCAGCAGCCTTTCCAGCAACAACAATTTGTAGTAGCAACAGTTCCAGCAATTTTTAGTTTTCAGCATCAAACAGAAGCAGCAGTAACAAGCAACAGCTCCAGTAGCAATTCCAGCAGCATATAAGCTGTGCACTTGCCATATCAGGGTTCAACTGCTGCAAACTACTAAGTATATCAAAGGAAAAGAAATGCTGCTATGTGCAGAAATTTCATGACTGAAAATCCTTTTATTTCCAAATTTATATCCAGTTCAGGCAGCTGCAATTGTCACACAATCATATCAGCAACACCAACTTGAGTTCAGCAGGCAACAACAGTTCTAGTAGGAAGCAACAACCAATTCCAGCAGTACGAAGAATCAGCAAGCAGGCACCAGCAACAAATCTGGCAAGAAGCATCCATACTTACTATCCATGGATCACAATTCATCAGTTTAGCATATATACTTCAGAGAAAACAAATCAATATATACTTCTTTATAACAAAATTCAGTATATACCCATGTTCGGGCAGCAAGTAGCAACCATCAACAAGTTAATCGATGTTGGGAGCTTCATAGTCGATGGGATCTAGTGCTCGGGAGATAGGCCATGGACGGCACCGGGCGGTTCACGCCGACGCCCAGAATTGAGGCATCGCTGGTGCTTGGGGGAGCGGCGACAACTGTCCTCCACCAGGCTTCGATGGAAAGTGTTGCTGCCGCCATACCATGCGCCGTCACCGGGAATGGGAAGAAAACCGACGCTAGGGAAGCATGGGGAAGACGACGCCGATGGTGAAACAGAACCGGCGGCGTATGAGGGCGAAAGGAAGCTATGTGGGAACATTTCGTCTTCCGCACGCGAAGGAGCGAAGTGCGATGGATTGGGAGCGGGACCTCATCCCCAGAAGTGGAGACTGAACAATCCGGGTTTGGGATTTTCATCCATTGGGAGCTTCGCTAGAGAGTTTGTTGGAGACAGTTTTTGAACAAAAATCCTCAATTCCAGGACTGGAAATCATATACAGATACTGTTGGTGATGCTCGGGGAACACACGCACGCTCTCGCTAGCCTGGCCTAGCGTGGCGCGCGTGCTCGACGTACGCGTCGAATACTCCTCCAAAATTGGTTCCTCACCCTTACGCATTTGCAGTTTTGGTTTTTTGCGGGAAATTCGGATTTGTTTGTTTCGGAAACACTCCGAATAATCCGGTGTGTGAAACGGCGTGGAGTTTGGATAAGTTACACGTGACTTATCATGTGTAGTGGAGATCGTGCTAGGCGTCCTGATATCTCTATATCAGTTAAGTCGCCGCCTCCACGCAAAATACACGCGAAATCAAGTCGTGTGTGTTTGTGCTTCGTCAAAATTGGTTCCTCACCCTTACGCATTTGCAGTTTTGTTTTTGCTGCAGGAAATTCGGATACGTTTGTTTCAGAAACACTCCGAATAATCCGGTGCGTGAAACGACGTGGAGTTCGGATAAGTTATGTGTGACTTATCACGTGTAGTGTAGATCGTGCCAGGCGTCCTGATCAAGCGTCCTGATATCTCTATATCAGTTAAGTCACCGCCTCCGCGCAGGCTCGTCTTCCACTTCATCCGCGTGCTGCGCGCCGTCATCAACGCTCGCAACCGCAAGTACTTCTTGCTGAGCAGCCAGTCTTCCGGTACCCTCGTTATGTGTTCAGCATGTTGCGCATATTCGATCTGTTTATATTTTATTATCTAGTTTACATGTGTAGATCATATAATGTGTTTATGTTACTTTACACCTACAATATCATAATTTATTTATAAAATAAATTAAATTATGTGCTTATAAATTCAGCATCTATCAGTCCTGGACTCCCTGGAATCCACGGTGTGACGGGCATCGTTGGGCAAACGGAGCCGACCTACCTTGCAAACACTGCACATCCACCGCTCGCGCCATGCGGCGCACCGTGCATATGCCTGGAGGAGAACGACGCAACGTGGCAGTGTGGCACCGTGATCACTTCTCGCCATCTTTGCTGCCGGTGTGGATTTCGGACCACGTACGCTGAACCCCTATTTGCTAGGAGACGGCACGTAAGAATTCAGATGTAGACGAACGGAATTTGTGTGTACTTCCGGAAAGGCCCTCGTTTTCCTATTAACATAGGCTCTTAGGGTTGGTTTGGTTTGTGGTCTAAATAGGCCTTACCAAATTTTATCAGTGTCAAATTTTGGCAAGTTTTGGCATGACTAATTTTGGTAAGAGAAAGTTGTGTTTGGATTGAAGCCAAAATAGCTTAAGTTCACTATTGAAATAACCTATTTTCTTAGGCGTGCCAAAATTTGGTTTAAACCAAATAGACACTAAACACTATTAAAATTGCCAAATATTGATAAGCCTAATTTAGGCCTCAAACTAAACCAGCCCGTAATAGGCCGGGATTTTCTCGTCCATTGTTGCCAGCAAACCGCCCCAAGAAGATACCGAAGCCCATCACGAGCGGCCTCGAAAACCCAAGACATCGGATCCACCCCTTTATAAGGCGAGACACGGTAGACGGGATCGAGACCCTCGTACATCAGCCGCCAGCCACCGCATCGCCGCCGTGGGTAAGATCATTTCTTTTACTATTTTGTTTATGATTTGACTACAAAAATGGCCCGTGTTTGCAACGGACGAAATGTTTTGTATCACTGTACATTATACTCATTCCTTAAATTTGGTTTAGTTTTTTTTATTTGATACGGACTCCGGATGATATTTGCCACGATTGGGTTTTTAATCGATCTTTGATTTTGTGATTTGTCCGCTATATGCGATTAGGATTTTGATTCGATCTTCGATTTTTTTTCCTTTGGCGGCGTACGTGATGAACACATCAGACATCACGCATGCGGGGACGCAGGGCATCGCTCGGTCGGACTTACGGAATAATTTTTATTATGTGTTTTTCAGTTTGTTATGCAACCTCCTTGAGAAGAGAGAAGGTAGGGAGAGAAGAGGGAAAAGAGAGGGGTGACAAGTGATGACATGAACCCATTGTGTTTTTTTTATTTTTAATCGGATACTCTCTGTTTTTTTTTTTACCTTTTTGTGTCATGCCAACACCACGTTAGCTAAAACCAACATCCAAACCGTCTTACGATCTTATTTGCACTGATTTTAGAAGTTGAGGGACATGTCATGTCTGTTATTCTGTTATTGTGGTTTAGGGACGAATTTTAGATTCGGAGACAACTTATGTTGTGTTCGTGAGGTGGTAGTTTATTAATATATAAATAATAAAGTATCCGCTAAAAATAATTTGAAAAATAGATTATAGATTGATATGATTTTTTAAAACAAATTTTGTTTAGATAATTTTTGTAAAAAAAATGCACCGTTTAGCAGTTTGAAAAGCGTGCACGTAAAAAATGAGAGTTCAAAAGAAAAGAACTCAGCCTTTAGGAACCTAAACTGAACTTATTCCGTGCACTTACACGCGGCCCATGATGCGGCCCAAATATGTGGCGGCCTGGGAACGGTGGCCCGACGAGCTGGAGCCGTCCGATCTGATCGACGGTCCCGATTGATCCGTACCTATATAGAAGTTCTACAGCCAAAACCCTAACCCTAAAGCATTTCTCCTCCCCTCTCTCTCTCTCAAAACGACGGCGTCGGCAGTGCCTCTCCCGCTCCGCCGCGACAGCGCCGCTCCCCTTCTCCCTCCCCCACCGGCGGCGCCGCTCCCTCTCCCCCTCTCCTTCCCGTCTCGCCGGCACGGCGCCGCATCGGGGAGTGCTCGACGGGGGTACGGCGGCGACGACGACCGTCCTCTCTTCCCCTCTCTCCGTCGGCCTCGATGGTGGGGCTACGGCGCGGGCCATCCTCTCTCTTTCTCTCCTCTGCCTCCGAGCAGGAGGAGAGCGCCGGAGGACGGGGCGCCGGGGTAGAGGGAGGGGGTGCCGGCTCGGTTGGGGAGGCGGCGAGTGTGGCCGTGCCCGGCGGGCGCGGCCACGACAGGAGCGCGGTGGACGGCGATGGAGACGAGCTCGCCCATTTATGTGATTTTTTCCTCTCCTTTTTCCCCTTTTTTCTAGGGTTCTCGATGTGCATATCTGTCCGAATTGATTCTTTTTCATGTAGATTTACCCGATTAAATTTTTATGGAGCTGCCCTATTGATTTCGTACCGATCTTTGATTTGATTTTGTGCTTTTTCCATCGTACACGATTGGTATATAGAGTGATGACGGACGAAAACGCGGACCAAAAAGATGTGACGAAATGGAAGTTACAAATTATCTAATTAGTTAAGATTAAGATTAGGATAAGCTAAGATATATGTTAGTGCTGCGTGTCTTTGTAAAATTCGTAAGCGACTCGAGCCCCTTGATGAGTCGATCCCTCAGATTTTTTTCTACGTGGCTCGAATTTTCCAGAGGGGCTAGATTCTGGAGATCTTGAGTCGCTTCGCCTACTCTCATCCGTGAGGCGCTTGAATAACATTCTCCAAGATTACCCTAGATTGAGTTTTTTTCCATTCATTTTTACTTTGTTTCTTTGGTATGGGCTACCCCGTGATGGCATGGATCTTTGAGACCTGAGAATTTTCTTCCTTGATGAAAATCACAAGTATGATCCCTGAGGGCCTTAGACTCGTCCTCTGTTTTTCTGTCCCTTTCATCTGAGATCTTAGGCTGTTTTGAATCTTTTAATCAAATTTAAACATCTGTTTTGTTATGGTACTATGAATGATGAAATGCACTGGGCTCCGAGCAGTGAATTACGCTGCGTTTTGATGGATATGCGTTTGCCTAGAAAGCATTGTCTGACACTTTACCTATGCAATATCAGCATCATCTCTACCTAAGATCGGCATTGTTTATTGTATGGAGTAATTTTTTTTCTTAGATTGAAACTGTGAACCACAACTCCTCAAGGCTGCATTGTACCAAGATTAGGGGTTCTACCTTTGCCCTCATCTTGATTGCCATTATAGGCTGTAGCCAAATTAATATGGAAGTAAAACTGGTCGGGTTGCCAATTGATTCCATGGGCATTCCGCTTACCGAACTTCCCATATCTTAGCACCTCCCCTCGCGCCGTTGCCATCGCCGAGCGCTCCTCTCCTCTTCCCCTCTCGTCCTTCCTCTGCCTGCGTCGTCAACCTTCCATCTGTCGATTTTGGAGGAGGGAGAGGTGGAAGCAGCAGCAATATAGCTCTGAACTTAAACTGGTTTCAGTTTGAATCCTGAATAGATGTTCTACCTGAAGACTTGTAAATGATCAAGTAATGTATCTAAGAGCAGTGTAGATGCAAAGCCTTAGTTTTTTGCTCTAAATAATTTGTTCCTTTAATTTTTATTACTGACTACAAGGTCCATGATTTATGATTTTGTTTCAGACCATAGAAATAGGGGGACAAATAGGTTATACTTATATATTGTGCTGTTTCAAACATGAAAAAACTGGATACATATATCACCTTTATGTTTGCTTACATGGTATAGAGATTGTTTATCTCACAAAATATTACAAATGCATTCTGCGGATAACTTGAGGAAGAAAAAAAATTTATTAATGATAACATCTCCTTTAGTCACAATAATAAGATTAGCCATTTAGGGAAGTGGTAACAAAGAGTAAATTGCCTAACACATGTGTTGCTTCACTCTTTTTTAGGGAAAATTGGAACCATGCCATTATAATTTTGCAAAATTTGAGATATGTCATCCTAACCAACATGTCATTGACTCATGTGGGTCCTACATGTCATTGAGATACTGATGGCATATCTCAAACTTTGCAAAATTATAATGGCATGGTTCCAATTTACCTTTTTTTTAGCCACACCACTTTTTTTTAAAAAAAAACTGGAGATAATGGATGTTGTGATTAGGATGACATAGCAGGCTGCTGATGATCCTGAATACTATCACTACAATGACATCATTGAGACGTCTCCTCACTGCCTCCACGAGATCAAATGCTTCTTTGAAGACTGTAAGACTATCCTCATAGCCCGTTGTATGGTTTAAATTGCAAGTCCATATATCCTCATAGCCCGTTGTATGGTTTAAATTGCAAGTCCATATAGTGTACTATTGACCATACGTATATCTGTTACTATGCTTAAATGTTTTTAGACAAGAAGAATGAGAAAGAAGGTTGTTGTTGATGCATTCTTGCCTACCAACACTGCTTATGATGCCATTCAGTACTTCCAGTAAATTCTCTGATTTTAAGTGAACTATAAGTCTATAACAAGAAGTGATTGTGTGTGTTGCGGAATAGGTATTATAGAGCATTAAATATATATAAAAACAAAAACTAATTACACAGTTTTCATGGAAATCGCGAGACAAATCTTTTGAGCCTAATTAGTCCATGTGCTAATGATGGTTTAATTAGGCTTAAAAGATTCGTTTCGTTGTTTCCAGGCAAGTTATGAAATTAGTTTTTCATTCGTGTCCAAAAACCCTTTTCAACATCCGGTTAAACATCCGATAAACATCTGATGTGACACTTAAAAATTTTCTTTTCATGCACTAAACACACCCTGATTTTTACTCTGTTTTCTGTCTAAAGATATATTTAGTTAGTTCCGGTTGGGAACGGGGACAGTTCATCCTGCAAAATAAGGGCCGAAAATATGGGTGTTACTACTTTGGAATAGAAGCAGGGTATATGTGGGATTAGGGCTGAAAACGGTACGGAAACTTTCCGGATTCCAAACATATTTTCGAAAACGGAATCTGTTGGTCCGAATATTTTTTTCAGAATTTGGAATTTCTCAGAAACGGAAACTAATTCGGAAATATTTTCTCGGAAACGGAATCGAAAATGATAAGGGCAGTTTTCATTGGAACTCGGAATCGGTCGGAAACTTTCTGGAAATTTTCTTGGAATTTTTGGAATTTTTTTCGGAATTTCCAGAAATTTTGTGATTGAAATACCCTGAGTTCTTTTTTTTAAGCACTTAATAGTGAATAACATGTTGTTTTGCTCTTATTTTCTTGAAAATATTTGTTATGCAAATCTAAATTTACATAAGAATATTTTTTCCTTCATTGGGATTTACCAACGTCATTACTCTCTTAAACATAGATAATTTATTTCATAGATTGTGCATCATTACTCTCTTAAACATAGATAATTTATTTCATAGATTGTGTTTTGTGATGTACTGTTAATACTTAATTGTGTTTCATGATGAATCGTTGACCGTTGAGACTTGAGAATTGGATTTACCAGTTTGAGGGGTTTTTTATTCCGATAAATTTTCGTTACCGTATTTGCGCCGATTCGTTTTTGTTCCGTTTTCGGTTTTGATAATATTCGATTCCGTTTTCGTATCCGGGGTTTCCGATTCTGATTCCGAAAAAAAAAATATGAAAACGAAAATAATAAAGATGGTTTCTGTCCGTTTCCGTACCGTTTTCACCCCTAATTGGGACAACCCAATTTGCAGTGTCTCAATTAGGACCTAGAAAAGTTCAATGGCGTATATGACAGATTTCTACCTAACAAATCACAAATGAATAGTCCCAAGCTAAACTGCACGTAACCTCCAATCTTTGAGAATACCATGGCAATGAGCTGTGTTTGTACAGAGAAGTGCGGGCCATGATGTAACGGATGGCATCGTTTGCTTGACGTGCGACCCAGTCCGTGTGCCAGTCATCACAAGCAATGCAAAATTGCAACCTCCGTCCGTCCGTCCGGATGTTCGGAAAGGTCAGCGTGCTTACGGTTTGTGTCCAGGCGGCGTTCTGGTCTGGGCCAACCATAAAAGTATCTCTTACTCCGTCTTTGCTTGGCTCATCGATTGCCATTCGCCGTCGCCGTACGTCCCGTGCCTAGACCACGTCCATGCGTGTATTAATTAGTGTCACTCGAGCTAGTCGTCTCGGCCATCTCTTGCTGGCTTATGATCGAGCTCTCTTGTTTTGTTATAACACTGACGGTGGCCGCCGATCAGGACGTGCACCGGCCGGGTCTCAGACTCTCAGGTCAACTCCGCCCCACGCGACGTACGCCTCCTAGCTAGTTCGAGCATCCCACGTCGAGTCGCCGAGGCCGCGCGCGTCCTCTCAAGCGGCTAACCCCCGCGCGCGCCGGCGCTTCTCCCCTTCCCGGGCCTCTTCAAAAATCCCCGCGCCGCGTAGCCGATCACTTGTCGCACCAACATGGAGGAGGACGGCGGCAGCGACGCGCGGGTGGTGGAGTCCATGCAGCGGCTGCTCGACGCGGTGCCGCCCGGTGCCGACGACCCGTACACCATCTTCCGCCTCCCCGCGGCCGTGCGGGAGCGGCACCGCGACCTGTACGAGCCAAAGCTCGTGTCCGTGGGGCCGTACTACCACGGCCGCGACGGGCTCGGCGCCGCGCAGCGCCACAAGTGGCGCCTCCTCCGCGACTTCCTGTCGCGGCAGAGCGACGACAAGGCCGGGCTCGGAGCCTACGTGCGCGCCGCGCGGGCGGTCGAGGCCGACGCGCGGCAGTGCTACGCGGAGGGGTTCGACGACGTGGGCGCCGACGAGTTCGCCGAGATGCTGGTGCTCGACGGTTGCTTCCTGCTCGAGTTCTTCCTGAGGAAGAGCGAGGGGCAGCTCGCGGCGCCCGGGGGCGCCAAGTGGGCGTGGCAGCACATGTACCACGACGTCCTCCTCCTGGAGAATCAGATACCGTTCTTCGTCGTCGAGAGGCTGCACGGCGTCGCCTTTGCCGGGGACGATGATGGCGCCGCCGACCGTGACGCGCTCCTCGACATCTTCTGCAAGGCGTTCGCCGGCGACCTGCCTTCGAGCCGCGTCATACGGCCGCCGAGCGACAAGACCATCCACCACCTGCTGCACCTGCACTACGAGTGCAACGTCCGCAACCCGGCCGCGGACAGCGACAAGGCGCGCAACGGCGGGGACGCCGCCAACGGCGGCGCGTCGTCGCTGGCCATCTGGAAGCAGCCGCCCGTCCCGTCCCCGCGCTCCAGCGACGGCGCCATCAAAGGGCGGATGACGTCGATGATCCCGCCGGCGGCCAAGATGGAGGAGGCCGGCGTGACGTTCAAGCGGAAGGCCACCCCGCGCGACGTGTTCGACATGAGCTTCCGGTACGGCGTGCTGCACATGCCGGCGTTCGTGGTGGACGAGGGCGCCAAGGTGCTCCTCGCGAACCTGGTGGCGTTCGAGCAGGGCGGCGGCCGCGCGGCGCGGAAGCTGGAAGGGGGCAACCTGGCGACGGGGTTCGTGGCGCTGCTGGGTTCGCTGGTGAACTCGCGGCGGGACGTGGAGGTGCTCCGCCGCTGCGGGATCCTGCACTGCATGGTCACCGACGAGGAGGCCGTGGCGTACTTCAGCCACGTGGTGCAGTACACGACCATGGACTACGACCGGCACCTGCTGGCTTGCCTGTTCCGGGACATCCGGGAGCACTGCCACTGGAACCGATGATTTGGGTGTTTCATCCCAATGCTGCTTGGCTGGTTGCTATACGATTGTCTTCATAGATTTCCTTTTACTGAACGATACCTCGATCATAATTTGCCTTTTAGTACATGCGACTCTTACTACCGTTAATTCATAATTTGCCTTTAGTACATGCGACTCTTACTACCGTTAATGTAGTTAAACAAAAACAGCAATACCATCCATTCATGTTTTTTTTTTTACTAGCAAGATGGAGTACTTCATGTTGAGAATGTTAATCCCAAGTCAAACTTAAACTGCGGACCAACTAGGTAGCTCTCTTTTGCTGCGTGGTTGCCAAGACACAAAGCTTTGGTGACAAATGACCATTTCCTTACCATGTAAGGAACGGAGCTAAATTCTCAAAATGATCCCTAATTGTTATGACAAAACTATTAAAGAAAGAACTACACGGTTAACCTTTTGCTTCAGAGAACTGCACATTGGACACATTCAGTTTGGCTTACGAGACCACAGGTTGCTAGTAGCCATCCAATGGTAATTTATCAAGAACTACAATAAGTTATACTGCAGTTCGGCAGTTCCCTTCCACAGGCCATAATTGTACAATTTTTAGTGTAGTTGCAGTGAATCAAATAAACCACAAAGGAGCGTAGAACACTAGAGTGAAATCATTGTTAGAGAAAGGAAAACAATTGTTTGCATCATGAGGATTATGGGTTTTATTAACATACCAGGTTTTTCGTAACATACCGGCAAAGGGGAAAACCGTAAATGGCCTGCATTAGACCTTATCTGAACTCCCCTCTGGATTATATCGGCCATTTATGATGGCCGAATGAATCATCTAACTATGGGGTTGCCTGTAGGTACTAAAGAGCAAACATTCTCATAGACAAAACTGTGCCGAGAAAGCCCCCAACGTATACAGCAGATTGTCTAGTCATGGCTGAATGCAGATTGACATCCTTATGAGGCCGGGCACACCTTGCATATCGCAGTGACAGCTTTTCAGCAATCGTTTCAAATTCTATCATGCTTAGCCATCTTGTCATACTAGAGAGAATTCAGGGTCATCTTCATCTGGACGCATGTGAATTAGCGGACTGGTGAAGAGAAGAAAATAACCAAAGAGTAGACAAGAAATCCAGCCAGAAGGATCCCTCCGTAAACAAACGCCTGTGATGACTGCTTGGGGTGATTATATTCAATAGTGCAACACTTCATCTTGTCTCTTTCCGCAGACAATACACGTTCTACGTACCTGTCAAATCGAAGATGTTAACAATGACTATTATAAGAAAATAGTGAATATTGAGCAGATAATCACAAAAATACTAAGGGAAATATAATGGGAAATATTTGATGTCTAAGTCAGAACAAAGTGCAAAAGGTAGCTACAGGGAAATCTTGCGTCTCAGAAAAGTACATACTGCTGTGTAAATATAGTGCTCTGCAGGATATCAGAACTGTTTTGATAAGCATCAACTAGACGATGGTCATAGAGCAAGGAGGATAAATCCACAAGTTGTCCTTCAAGCCTCTGAAATGGGGTAAAAAAAAGGAATCAGCTGCAAATAGAACTTTGAATTAAAAATAAACTGGTGCAGTAACAAAAATAAATACTTACATCCAGGTATTCTTCCAAACGTTCAACAAGCTCATGAGGGAAAGGTTCTGGCATAGTTGTTACCTTCTTATAGAATTTCTCTACCCATAACTCTGTGTTGGACTTGTTTTGTTTACCTTTAACAGGTTCTCCTAATGGCGTCTTAAGATGCTCTGATGCAAAGGATTGAACAAACTGCACCAAAGCAGACGGGAGTTAAAGTCTCCAGCGCATGTTAAGAAAATAAGAAAACGAAAGCAAGTTCAATTGAATTCCAGAGGACCTCCGATGTGTCCCTTATTTTGTGAAGAGCAGCATCAACTTGAGCATAAATTGTAGTTCTCTACACATTTAAAAGCATACATTAGATTTAGTGCAAATGAATATGACATGTAACAGCTGAAGAAACCAAGGTTTACATAGGTAAAATATCACAAAATCCTGGCCATGCTGATTGTCACGAGTCATGAAGCATAATATCAAGATTTGCTAGATACAGTCATATAGACTACAATTTGCAACGATTAATTAGAGAAATAAATGTCCATGCTACTCTCTTAAACAGGAAACCATAGTCAGAAATTGGTAAAAGGAGGCAAGAAGCAACGGAAGCACATTTGAGCTCAATTTATGACAACCTCCACTCCCATGCTCTCATAAAACCATAGAAGGTACTAGTATAAACTATTGATGTCTCATGATGATGCATGAACATGTTTTGTGCATTCCATTGACGTCTCACTCTGATGCATAAAAATGTTTTTATGTTCAGGAGAAAGGAAAAGCATCATTGGATAACATACCAGTGCAACATCCTGAAGGATTTGACTGATCTTAGAGGAGTTTGAGAATGGTCCAAAGGGATGGCATCCAGCAGCCCACAACCAATTCACAACAGGTCTTTCATGAATATGTGATGCCCTTTCATATGGTGCACTCAGACCTCCAACTGCTGAAGCTAAACCTGCCAAGATGTGGCGCTGTGCTAGAGACGGAAAAGCGAACTGTCTAGTTGTTTCTGACACATAACTGCAATGCAAAATAAAGGGTATAAACACAGCAGCACTTGAACACATGTAGCCATGTCAGAAGCCATAGAACAATTATGTGTGTAGACCTGTACTGAAACTTTGCATACCTTAGAGGAACCTTTTCATTGTTATGCTCAAGTACAATGACAACATCTTTGCTTGTCCAAACAAGATTTTCCTCTTCCATCAGAAGCTCAGCATCAACATCAGCCAATGACAATACAAAGCTGTCAATTCATGTTTTAAAAATATTAGCAACAGCGGTGATATAACTTTTGCCTGAACAGTGCATTCTTAGGATAAAATTTTTATCGCTATACCCAAATGATACTCCTTGATTTTCTACACCATTATTTTAAGGATGGGGCAGCTCTTAACTTGGTAAGTTACATTTTGATCCTCAAACTGTATATCAAGTGAGTGAGGGTTGGTTTTTAGGCAAGCGTATGTTGATGGAGAAAGGATAGTTGTTTACACTGGAATCACTCTGGTTCCATAAGTCCGGTACAGATCTCCATGTTTCTTCTTTCCAGTTCCTCGTTTTTCTTTCTTATTTCTGGGCATGTAAGATTCCCATATAGGCTTATGTTTTATGGAATCATGCGTGTCGTCTTGCTCGTTCAACCAATGCTGTTGTTCAATAAGATTCGAACATACTTTAGCAAGAATAAAAAATCCAAATTACATCACACATGGAGATCCATGAAACTGAAGTGAAATCGCAGGATGTCAATTAGGAAATGTTGCACACACCTGCTTCAGGAAGAACCTACTTGAGAGGGAAGGATTTGCAACTTCTAATAAACCAGCGGACAGCACATCGGCAGAGCGTTCCATTTCCTGTACCAGTAGACAGCATATAACTGTAATGTTGCATTTCATAAGACAAACATTTTGGATCCATCAATTAGTGACATATTCATGCTGCTTCATGGTTTCACCACAAATTTAAGTCAAAAATGCAATGTGGTCTAGACCACTGTGCGTCAAGATATCTGTTACTTGACTTGCTTCGCATTTGTTTTAGCCCTTTTCTTCATTAAAAAATATAAGTGGAAATCCCATGAAAATTGTCAACCATAACATGTTCTTGTTGATGGTACCACTAAAACAGTTATATGAAAGATATGTTCAACAGGATAGGTGAGATCTAAAGTATAGTTCTCCATGTACACTGCTCACATGCAGTATGCAGCAGCCTGTTTGCTAAATATGGAAATAGGATGATGATTTTCTTAGTTTACATTATATAAATACAAAAAGTGGCCTTCAATCACCAAGGTTGAAGCATTCATGATTCATGCAATACCTGTAGATCTATTAACCTACTCATCATGGCGATTCGCCAGTGTAAGCTTGCAATTCAAACATTGGAGTATTTGGATAAAGCCAAAATTCAGTTATCCAACAAACCTCTCTGAGTATTGCTCCATCCAAATATGGTTTGGTACGAACATGAAATCGACCATCGGTCTTCGTTTCATGAATAGAATGGCTGCGCATTGCTTTGGAAACTGCAACAGCTAACTTTTCATGCTGATGCAGCGCATGTGAACCAGAAATAATTATTACCTCCTGCCCAGCATGAACCATTCTTTTAACCTGAAATACACAAGATTTGGAGACTCAGTGTGAACCATATTTTCAACAAACTATGTGCATTTCATAATTATACATGTCTGGCAGAAACACATTTTCATTTGGAACATACATCAGTCAGACATTAAATTAGCCCATTTAAGAGCGATGATGTTATTTTTTAAACAAATATTGAACAGTGATGACACTCTGCTTCCGAAATCGAACAGCTTGACATCATAGTTTTTTTAGCAGAGCTTACAACAAGACTGCAGTCGCTGCATGATAGTTCATCACTCTCTACTTGCTTTTAATTGTCCTAAAAGGATCAGGCCAAAAAAGACAGAAGAAAATTACTTAGTGGAACTTGCTGCAGCTACTTATTATGACTGCACGCAAAGTGGCATTGACGATGATATCCCATTTGCATTATGGATTGTGTAGCAACAATGAACAGTCATAATGCTGCCAAAACCCAAAACCTTTGCTTGTGTGCCATTAAATATCGTCAATGCCATATGTATATTTAGTGTTTCCATTTCATAAAAGTGCAGAAGTACCCCCAACATGGTGGAATATCTACAGCTTTGTTTCATATTTACGGAACAGAAAAACAACCAAATTCTAAATCACATTTAGCATTCCAGGGTTCTTGGGAGTTGAGATATTACTGTATCATTTGTAGTATTCCCCAAGTCTCCCACCTAGCCTACCTAGGAAACAGGTGCCACCCTCCCACCTTAGCCGCCTATCCCTGCATAGCCAATTTATCCCACCTAGTCCTTAACCCACTTAATCCCACCAAATTGAAAGTTAGGGTGGCACTAATCTGCTGCCCGACTAGCTCATATTGCCTGGTGAACATATTCTGACATCCATTTGCTTGTTATTGTGGAATACATCTTTTTGTCCAATAGAAATTTATATGGCTACAAGGTGCTCCAAATGTCTGTAATTAGTGCATGAAGTAAAACAAACCAGTAAGATCGCTACAAATTGCAGTGGCCTCAGCAACCAACAGATGTATTCATGCAAGAAAATCAAC